GTAGGAATGATCGACTCATGGTCCTGACAAAGTGTTGTTATTTTTCAGGTCAATCAGAAATCCAATATGGCCACCACAGCCGCTATTTTGTAAATACCTATTCTAAACTTAAAAACAATTTCTAATAGGCCGATCTTATTTAAAATCGGTCTAGGAATGATCAGCTCATGGTCCTGACAAAGTTAAGTTAACATTATACTTAACTACTTTTTACTCAAATTGGTACATATTTCAACAACAAAAATAAATACTGTAGGACTCAGGTGACCGTTAAGGCCCATGGGCCTCTTGTTTGTTTAAAGATTTTCTCCTACATTTTTTTTATAGCATATCAGCTAACCACTCTTAGAATGATGCAGATCTTATTTCAATGTAAGAAAGTATATAACACTATATGGCATTCGACGGTCGTATTTTGTTCCGCCCCGCGGTACTCTTGTTTGTTATGTATTCCAACTGTCCCAGTTCCCTTTGAAACTTTGTCCATTGGTCAGTGTACACCAGAAGTGTCATTCAAACTACAATTATGTTCAATCTAAATTTGTATGCGGAATATGTGTAATATGTGTTTTGTTTATTTTACAGGTCAAGATCCTACAGTAGGTCACAGTCACCGCGAGGTGGCAACAGAGATGGATCTCCACGCAAGAGTCGCAGTCTGACCCCAGAAACAGAATGATCTTCCCCGACATTTGCTGTATGAGAGACTGTGAAGAAGGTGCCCTGACAAAAGCGATCAATCATGACGAGAGCGATGGAACAAACGCAGGATGCTAAAAAGCATTGTTTTGTATCTCTGTGTGAAAAGCCAGAGTGTTGCCATTCAGAACAATGGATGTATTGCTATCTTGAGACTATCTCAATATATCTCAGCATTAGACGGGAGTTTTACTGGAGAGTTTTTAGCATATCTGAACAAATGGAAAAGTGTAGAATGTTGAACATTTTAACCTCTTAGCTATTTACACAAGTTTTCTTCATCGTTCTCCTTCAGACTTGTTACTTCGTTCTCCATAGGAATTATTTTAAAAGTTGTGTGCTTATTTTCGTTTCTTTCAGGAAAAAGTGTTTTATTCATTTGCATGTAAGGACATGTCTCATTGTAAATATCCAGATGTATAAGTGTCGATCATCCGTTCATGTTTCACTTATCATTTAATGTTGTTCCGGAATACACCATAATCGTTTTATCATCAATAAAATTGCATACATGCCAACAGATCTGATATCTATTTTATGTCTGGTTTGGTGTTTTAATTTCATATTTGTTTCCAAGGAAGGTAGACTTAGTACAGTTTTAAGTTTGATGGGTGGAGCCCTTACGAGCTTATGGTGTGATGTCAGCATTTAGTTAAATGAAAAGAAAATACATTGTGTTACTGTCATATTTTGCTGACGGGTGTCATTATATGTATACATAAAGATGGAACTGATAAAAGTATGGTTAAAATAGAGCAGTTTTTGTGATTTTTGTTGAATTGAAATAAATATTATTTGCTTCATTTCTAGAGTAATTCTGACAGCCGAACAATGCAATCTGGGGAAAATATGTGGGTTCATTTCAAGCTAAAACTGTAATATGTACTAAATTAACATTTTAATTAAACAATTAAATAAATAATTTAACATATAGAATTTTTTCTAAGTTGCTTGTGACATGTAAAGTGTTTTTGACACAGCTATATTTAAGTCCGATGTTACATATCCATTGAACTACATCTAAAATGTAAGGAGCCCTGGGCCCGTATTCATGAAACCCTTCTCATGCTCAAGCATGGATTTTGTGCTCAAGCCCAGTTTCTTGTTTACGTTTTAAATTTATAAACAAGCCTTATTTCGTCAATGATTTGGTAAAAAAAATTTAAGAGACTGTTTAAATTTTACTTTTTGATCATTTGACATGAATTTATAGAGTTTCAAGAAAGTTGGTTTGAGCACAAAATCCATGCTTGAGAATGAGGAAGATTTCATGAATACGGGCCCAGGATTCCATACTATATATAGTATGTCAAGTTCAGATATTTAAAATGTAGTCTACAATAGATAACCTGCACAGGTCATCAGACAGGCATTATCAACTCAATCATTGGGATGTTGATTCCATAACTTCCCTAATTCTGTTTTTATTTTTTACATTTTGAAGTATATACGTGTGCCTCATATTTGTTAGATGTTTTTTATACGCCTGTCAACATTTTGATGGGATGTAATTAAGGTATGAAAAGTGTCTACCAAAACATGCTTTGTTTTTTGCAAGATAAAACTAGCTTGAATACCTTTTAGTTTTGATAAATTGTAATAAGCATTGGTAATGCACTAAGACTAGAGCGAAATCTACTTTAAAAATTAATTAGCTTCTTGCGCTCTGATTGGTCAAAATCCACACATTAGTTTCTGCAGGATAACTTTATTCAATAAATATATTTCAATTTTAATGAAACCTGGTATGGGTAATATAAAAGTCTTGGGCTAAATTCAAGCATACTTACATTAATGTTGGGGAAAATGCAGATTAAATCCTTTATTTTACCAAGACACCTTCAAAGTTCAAAGTTAAACAAAATCCATAGCGTTGGTTAATATGGATGCACATTATTCAACCACTATGTTACTCTTTTTCAGAATATTTAGTCAAAGGTCAAGTTCATTCACAAACATTCAATCAATATCAACAGTAGCAAACTTTAAATGTAAATTTCATGTCGCTTTGCTCAATAAACGAGGCCCAAATGTCATTTACAGTCATCTGTGTTTACACACAATGCACCTAGACCGACAAAAGGTGATTGCGGTAGGTCACCTGTGTTTACACAATGCACCTAGACCGACAAAAGGTGATTGCAGTAGGTCACCTGTGTTTACACATAATGCACCTAGACCAACAAAAGGTGATTGCAGTAGGTCACCTCTGTTTACAAACAATGCACCTAGACCGACAAAAGGTGATTGCGGTAGGTCACCTGTGTTTACACACAATGCACCGAGACCGGCAAAAGGTGATTGCAGTAGGTCACCTGTGTTTACACACAATGCACCTCGACTGACAAAAGGTGATTGCAGTAGGTCACCTGTGTTTACACACAATGCACCTAGACCGACAAAAGGTGACTGCAGTAGGTCACCTGTGACATACAAATTCAGTAACAGCGGCCGAGCCACATAGGAGAAAGATGTTTGCTTACCATTACTAGAGATGAAAGAATAAAATGCAACATATTTGACATTGTATTATGGATCAAAATGCAGCAATTTATTTGAGAATTTGACCTGGCATCGAGATTTAGAGAAGGACTTGAAAAATAAGTATATATGAGGTAGGTTTCCTAGTACTGAATTCATGCAAAAGATATATTCCAGAAACAATCCATCAGATTGCAGCAGCTTCATTAATGAGAGAGACACCAGGGGCAGCATATATCCCAAACCCTCGCCCAGAAAAATCTTGGCAATCAACCCATCATGGATATGATATACAGCATTTAATATAGTGCCCTGTCTAGCTAACATAAACCACTCTAAAGCGCTTTACAGTACATAAATATACAATTAGCATATACATTAATCAATACAATTTTGAGGAATTGGCAGGCGCTAACTACTAGTCCTATGCCACCTGGCTAATATCTCCCTATGTGTGTGTGTGTTGGAGATGTAATGATATGTGCTCAAGAAGGACATGAAAGCTGTGCACAAATCTGTTTTACAACAGTTCTATGTGGATATGTTAACCAATATCTACAAACAAAATGCAGACTTTATAGAATCATCTAATTAACACCAGTGGAGTATATATATGGCCACCCATACAGCAATATTGAGCTTTGTATAACGATATATTTTTGAAATTATCATTCATAGAAGCAAACTCAGTTTAAGCAATGATGACCTTGACCTCTGACTGTACACTATTTAAAATCAATAGACTTATTCACAATTACTATGGCAACCAATACACTACGTTTGAACTGTGTATGGTAATTTATTCTTATGTTATTATCTGGACAAACAACAAAGCAAAATCTTTTTCTAGCAACAGTGACCTTGACCTCTGGCTGACCAGACCCAAAATCATCCACTTGGACAACCCTCGTACCAAAATTTAAACTTTGTATGATTTGCCCAACCAGAATACTATTTTTAGCAATGTCGACATTGACAACTGTTGCACGATACCCAAAATCAAGTTTTCTGGTTGCACTAGGACAACTCGAAAACCAAGTTATAATGACCTTTATATGATCATTCATTCTCAGGTTATTGTGGACAAACAGAAAACTGTTTATACCAATGGTGACCTTAACCTCAGCACACCATGCCCAAAGTCATTAGGGAACTTAGTAACTACTTTGGCATTACACACACAGTTTGAACTTGTATAATCATTCGTTTAAATGTTATCATCTTGACAAGCAGAATTTTATTTTCAGCAACAGTGCAGATCATCAACCTATATCTATAGGGTTCTTGACATCCACTTGGGCAACCAAAACACTAAGTTTGAACTTCAAATGATCATTGAATGTCAATTAATCATGTCCTACCAAGAAGGAATTCTATTTTGAGCACTGGTGACCTTGACCTCTGCCAATTTTTAACTTGCATAAGGGACTTGGTAGTAAGCATATCAAGTAAGTTTCATCAAAATCCATTAATTTCTTCATAATATCAGATGGAAATATAGCATGAGTAAAAAGACAGCCATTTTGAAAACAGCTAAAAATCATTTCATCGACAAATTGTATACAGAAAGTGCCTGTGAGCTAAGGTGATGTCTGTTAATCTGTTTAGGAGGGCTAGTAGGGAAATGATATTTTGCAAGAATCATGCTTCGGTTAAGGGCTTTTCAAGTTGCTTCAAATGAATGACCTTTTTTCGCCAGGTAATGAGGGTCCAATGTTTTCAAAAAGTTTCTTAACTTCTGAAAAACCAAGAGGCCTTGGGTAATGATATATAGTTTAAAGCATGCTGAGGGAAGAGTTATCCAGTTTTTAGCTCACCTGGACTGAAGGTGCAGCATCCGACGTTCATCAACTTTTTCCTTTAACTAGTCCTGAACGGCTCAGAGGATTTTGACCAATTTTGGTCTGGAGCATCATTGGCCAAAGGGTTCTCAGTTTTGTATAAACGGAGGGTATGGTCCCCCTGGGAGCAGAGGGGCAGGGCCAAATGGGTAAATCTTTAAAATCTTTTTCTTCTCGGCCAATAAAAGGATTTTGACCAAATTTGTCCTATAGCATCTTTGGACAAAGGAGACTCAAGTTTGTATAAACGGAGGGTTTGGCCCCTCTGGGGATGGAGGGGCGGGGCCCAATAGGGGAAATAGAGGAAAACATCAAAGATCCTTCTACTTTTGTACCGATGAAGAGATTTTGACCAAATTTGGTCTGGAGCATCATTGGCCAAAGGGTTTTCAGTTTTGTATAAACGGAGGGTATGGTCCCCATGGGGGCAGAGGGGCGGGGCCAAATAGGTAAATCTTTAAAAATCTTCCTCTCAACCAATAGAAGGATTTTGACCAATTTTTTTCTAGAGCATCTTTGGACAACGGAGCCTCAAGTTTGTATAAATGGAGGGTGTGGCCCCTTTGGGGGCATAGGGACAGGGCGCAATAGGGGGAATAGAGAAATATTTTCCCTTCTGTACAAATGAAGGGATTTAAACCGAATGTGGTCTGAAGCATGCTTAGGGAAAAAAACCTCAATTTGTTACATTTGTATAAAAAGGTGCATGTGAGGCCCAATAGGGGAAATAGAGGAAAATTGGGACAAAACATGGAAAATCATTTTCTTTGTGTCTTTCCCACCAAAACAGATTTATATGTAGTTCTTCTTGCAACTTTGTTTCTTGTACTCCTTTGATAAACCTGTATGGTACTCAGCAGGTTTTAAATTGAAAAATAAAATACCAGGTGAGCTATTAAGGCCCCTGGGCCTCTTTGTTTCATATGGAAGACATTGGCCCTCTTTCAAGGTTATAGAGGTTAAATTGTTATGTAATTTCTGAATATCCAGGAGGGCTTGGGTTATATTTGACTTGTAGCATGCTGGGTAAAGGGCTATCATGTTAATTCAGTTGATGACATTGAGCCACTTTCAATGTCACTGGGTCAAATGTGTTTAAAACATTTAAAACATTTTGTTTCTGACTGATTAGGGTCAGGATATTTAGCCTGTAGAATGCTGGTGTCCGTAGCTAAAAAGTTTGTCAACATATATTTTACCTTGAACCACTTTCCAGGTCAAAGAAATGTCTTGTTGAAATCTTCAAACAATTTCTTTTCATAAGGTATACAAGGCCTAGAATGATTTTATCCTGGTAAGACTACAGGCTATCGGGTTTGTTTAAAGAAATGACATTAACTCTCCTAATCCACTTTGACAGTTACAGATGTGAAATTCAATAATGGGCGAGTGATAAAAGGCAATAAGGCCTCTTGCCCAACAAAACAAATTCAATCGATATATAAAGTACAGTTTATATATAGGAATTGAAGCAGTGCGTTCAAGAGCAGTCAAACACGCTGTATACAAAGTGCTACCTTTTATTCACAGGCTTCCAAAAACTGTTGGAGTCAGCTTACAGATGTTTGAGCATTTCTTATGTTGTATAAATTAACTTTTTGACCGACAAGTTGAACAAACTATATAAACACATTCCTCCATAATATATCTCCTTTATTTACATATCAATATAGATATATATTATATAGCTCTCTCAAGTATATCAACAAATTGCATGAGGATTTATTTCCTAAAACTGAAATTAAACTAATAAAAAATCAAACGAATTCCTAAATACAGATGAACAAAAAATACATCACAACTGTTCGAAAGTATTTTCTTCAACTGGAAAAAGGCCTAAATGACTAAAAAGCATCATTATGATACATTGTAGTACTAATCTATTTGTAAACAATTTTTTTTTTTTTTTTTTTTTAACAAAATCCAATACATGTATCTGTCAAATTTGATAAATATAGTTGTTAGTAGTGAATGTAGGTTTACATAATTTGGGACAAAAAGTTGAGTTCACCACAAATGTTTCGCTTTCCCTCCTTGAACAATCTGTAACTCAATAACCTTATTACTAGAGGGACTTTACATACAAATAGTGCTGCTATCATTCATTCAATAAATCAAGACTGTAAAATTTGGTAAACTTACAAAATACTGTAAATTAATTATGTTTCTGAAAAGTTTATTTTGTGTATTTGACTTTCTATACAGGATTATGTTAAATCGCCCTTTGCTCGATATGTCACTTTTGCATTCGTAGTTCACACTTGAAATTTGCTAATTATCTTCAATGCAAACTTGTACGAAAATAACTATCATGCCAAATATTAGTAATCTTTATTAATACAAAACATCACAGATAAACAGAGCTCAGTAAAGTGTCACATATTATATCTTGTTTATAAAGCTAACAATACAAGGTTCATGTGTACTTGAGAAACATGCAATATAACAGGAACTTTAAAGCATGATTAAAAATACCTTGGTCATCACCAATCAAATTGTGGAATTGTAGAATAAATTGTATGGAGTATCTTCTAGTCTATAGCGAGGTAAATTATGGTGGAAAAAAAGTTTGTGACCATAACAGCTGGACACAAGTTATGGGTTTGTGTACATAGACAATATAATACTGTACAACCCCTTACTTTCACAGTCCCATATCTAGTGTGTCTGACCCCTGTGCTTATATCCACCCATTGTATTTTGAATGAAAGACTAACACATCTTTGGTCTTGCCAACACCATCCTTGATACCTCAGGGGTTATGCTCACTTTTACTCGCTACACCCCTGGAATATGTCATAGAAAAATTGAAGGCTCAGCGTGCACCACCTTGTGGATGAGACGAGAAAACTAGTTTGATCCTGTAATGAACATCAAAAGAATCTCTCGGTCGCATAACGGTAAAATTGACTGGCTTTGAAGTTGGGGGTCGCTCCTCTGTAATCTTCGATAGACAGGTGCCTAGCGATTGGTCAGGGCTTTAAAAGCCATCAGCGTGCCTTCAATCTTGCTACGACATATTCCCTCAGTGCAGAAAGCAAAGGTGAGCGTAACCCCTGGAGTATCGAGGATATGCCAACACAGACCGATGATAGAGCAATGAATTAACTGTTAAAATACTTGAATATTGGAATTTCAATACTGGTGTCAGCCATGACTGGTTTAATTCTAATATTTGATGCATAATACATGTTCACTGAGGTTGGCATATATTTATTTCACAAGGAGAAAATCTATTCTTATACTGTAAGGTAGCAGTGCACAGTAGCATACAGTGACCATGGGTGATATTTTTATACAATGAATAACCCCTGTAATATTACATGTATCCAAAAAAGAAATAAAAAAAAATCAGCACTAAAATTGGCATATACATGTACATGATGAAGTGGACTATGCGGGCTTCATAATTTAAAAAATAAAAATAAAATCGAATTTGGTTTGAGACTACAGTTTTGGGCATTTACAAATCTGAGTCTACACAACAAAAGCTAGCTTTTCATGTAGTCTATTTTTGTACCCAGCACATGTGTAAATATTGTGAAAAATCAACCGGAATCTGTTGCGGAGTAGACAAAATTTAATTTCAGACAGGTTTGAAGTAAAAGAAAATTGGGTTAAAAATCATATTTATTTGCATTTTTGATCTGGTAACTAGTCATGTAGGCTATTAAGGGTTCTCATCATTCGACCCAGATGAGCCAGAAAACAACAGAGTCTTCCAACAATTGCTCGGATCAAGCATCAGCAGAATGTGTACATTACACCCAATAACACCCAAGATTTGTTCAACGTATAAGAAATACATCCACGGCATGGACGATATATCAGCCATCAAATACGTCGAATCAGAAAAACACTCATACCTCGGTGGACTGAGTGGAGCAGCATAACCATGGTTTTCACAAGTCCCAAATCTGAGGGAAACATCAGATGTAGTTTATAAATATATATGTATATATGTAGGTGTGTTGTGCAGGTTGAATCTACTATCCATGTTTATCTTAGACATGCCCTTTATTTTTAGGATCAGGCCATTTCTACTGTACTCTGCTACATATACCTAATCACAGCTTGCATGTAATTCTAAACAAGTATCTCATAATTGGTCTTCAAACTGTTTTTCTGTCAACGAAATACATTCCCAACGTCTGTGAAGTACGATTCTCATAAACAGCATCTCACAATGGGTGATTTAATGAAATAAATCAGGAGGATACTCAGATTTGTAGTTTTTAAGATCTGTTATTCGATCGAAATGTAAATTTCACTTTGTACTTTGAAAACACTGATAAAATATTCCAGGTACAGTCCTAGCGTTATTAAAACACAATCATGACAAGCATCCTATTCCAGAAGAACCATTCTGACATATGAAAAGAAATGAAATGTGTTTACCACATGCAACATTTTCAACCAGATCTACATTGAGCAATGAGAATCATTCCAAAATACATTTAAAGTTATTCTTTTCAAGAAATAACGTTTTACAAAATAATTGATATTAACCATGAATGAATATAATGTGAACAAATACAATCTACATAAAAACACCCTTGAACAACCTTCACAAGTCGTTATTTAAACATAAATTTAAAATCACGCAGGGTAATAAAACAGGTAGATGAATCCCCTCGTTTAATCACAAGTACCAGAGTATAATCCATGTAATAGTTTATAAAGATATAATACCGGATATTATATGATTGTTAAAAATCATTCCCTCCATGTCTGTGTAGTAATTTCTACTAGTACCACTATCTTTACCCACAACATTATATCAGATTATATGTAATTCCAAAGAGTGGGAATCCGAGTATATTATTTAGTAATTGTCAGTAAAACCTTGATGTAATGACCAAGACTTCACTGTTGTGCAATAATTTCCCAGGCATCTTCTTTTTCTGAACTTATCCCTTCTAGTATTTCAAATTATCCTTATGACATTCTTTAATTGCTTATCTATCAGCCATATATAACTCTGTGTTAAAATATAGGGATCATTCTGTTTTCAAAACATTTTATACTTGTAAGTATTTAATACTTAATTCAGTATTCTTTCCGGACCATCATAGCCACTTGCATTTTACTAGCACCGGTTTATCTAAATTTGAAAAAATAAATAAAATACAAACTCATTAAATCTTACAACCTGCCATGACTTGTTGTCTTTTTTAATTTTTGTACAAAATATGTTGATAAGACTGACACAAGTCAGTCAGGCCAGATTAGTATTACATTATTATATCCATACTTATTAACCCATAAATAATGTAAATCTACTGAGTTACAATATCTTAAAAATCCTGGGGCCAACACTGCTTTATTAGCTTCATAATATTAAATTTTTATTCAAATTATTACAAAATGAATAAATATTGCATTTTGATTAAATGTAATTTATGACAAACAAAGCTTAAGGTATTTTACTGCTCGATACCAGTATTTGAAATGATATACGATTACAGAACATTACACTGTATATGGATCTGTTTAACAGATATTGAAAGGCGCACATGTTTAAATATAATGATTTTATCATCAGTAGCAGTGCAGAACCTAATCTGTTTTGTACAATTTGCACGGGGGGAAAAAAGTATAAATAATCGTAATTTTGCAATGAAAATGTTTTCAAACATGTATACTATCTATAAGTGAAAGTATTTGCATTTATTCAGGAAGTGATGCATTAAACATTTTCATTTAGGTATGCAGTCACATTTTAAACGTCAGTATGGTGCTGTCTGTTCAACAACCATATACACTTAGGAGATTATTTATCACTGCAAACAATTGTACAAAATAGATCCGACTTGTCCTCAATATTGGTCCAGTATTTAAAAAAAAAATATATATAATGTATTTGAGCTTACAAATGCCATGGTTGGGCTAAAACAAAATAGATAATTTTAAAAGCATTGAAATTGTCAACAATAACAGTAACAGGCCCTTTGAGTCTATACCACCCATTTTAAATTGAAGGTTCCGATCCTTTTTGATCATTGATACTAAAAGTGAAAGACAGCTTACGTTGTCATAACTTCTGCATGATATGAGGTCAAACTTACAGTTTTGTTCCTGAAACTACCGGTAATCTGCGCAGTTCAAATTTCCCAAAAAAAATATGTTTAAAGTCAATATTCCCAAACTAGCTCTCTATCAGAAGGGCGATAAGTTGGCTGAGTTTATTTATTCTTCACCTTTTTTTTAAGTACTGCATGGAACGTAAGTACAACCCGTCCTATGAAATCTAATTGCATTAAAGATTTTTTTTGGGGATATTACAAAATTATTATAAGACCTTCAACTCTCTTGCCAGCATTTTCAGTTTAAAAAAAAAAATGTATGCTGAAATACACGCAGCAAACTATCGTCGATAATATTAATTTCCAACTGTTTAAAACAAAGTGCGGAAAAACATAAAGGCCTTGATAATTTAATAAATATTTCTTTAGTACCAGGGTATATAAAATAATTATATAAATAACATAATGATATTGAAAATATGAAACAAATGATGTCTTTAATACAAGTCATTTTATAAGACTGCTTAAAAATAATATACTCAAATAAACAGGAAGCAAAGTTTGCTTTCACCGATTATAAACTGAACTGTGAAATATCATAATCAAACCATCCAAACAACCAAAATAGAAAATCTCTATAATACAGAAATACATGTACTTGTAAATAACAAAGTGAACATGTTTTGTTTTTAAATGCAGCTAATCTAGGTACTCAACAAATAATTTAAGTTTTCAAGCAAAACTAAGCTGAGAAACGGATAAAGGAACGCGATGTTGAATCAATGGACATTATCTGCCAGATGTCTAACACCAGATTGAGTTCTTTTGTAGATAAATGTTCAATTTATGACCCTTCATATATATATTCAACCATTCAACCATCTGATAATAATTTAAACACTGCATTAACTAATGATGACAGCAAATTAATACAACTGTTTGTACCTTAATAATTTCTTTGAACCAATTTCTATTACATATATGTTGTGACACTTTTTCTCAAAACCCAATTTATGTGACAGATTTGTGTGCAAAGAAACGTGAAAATTGTTCCCATATTCATAAAAAATATAACGGTTAAAATCATCATCTAATTTCAGTTTCCAAATACATTTATTGCTATTTCCAAGTACACCTTGTTGCCATACCATAAACACGACAAATCCACTGTAGATGTATATAACAGGTCTATTACAGTAGAACATATTGGGACTTATAATTAGGTCAGTTATCACAGCATCTAATGATTGGAAAGCTGAATCAACATTTATATATCAATAGTCTTATATGGGTTTTTTTCATTTGCCATTCAAATTTTGTTAAGTTGGTTACTAATTGTTTACTTTAACTTAGATATATTTTTATTTTTAACATTTAAAATCTATTTATATTGAAAAATAAAATCCTCATTAAAATTTCAAACAATGTAACACCCAGCTAGATTCATTAGACACTGTTATTAGCTCGCCAGCTGACCATCGAGTATTTCACTCATTGGACACTATTATTAGCCTACCAGCAGACCATAGGAGTATTTCACTCGCTTGACACTTTTATTATGGTAGCTTGCCAGCTGACCATCGAGAATATCATTCATTGGACACTATTATTACCCTACCAGCTGACCATAGGAGTATTTCACTCGCCCCACACTTTTATTATGGTAGCTTGCCAGCTGACCATAGGAGTATTTCACTCGCTCGACACTTTTATTATGGTAGCTTGCCAGCTGACCATAGAGAATTTCACTCGCTGGCCACTGTGAATGGTGTCACTTGGAACATGAAGCAGCGATTACAAACTCTCACTGGGTTGATCTGCCCGTAGTGGGGCAGGGGTACAGCATTAGCGGAACATCTACTGCAGAATATCTGTAACAACAGTATAGGGTTTTAATCTTCACAGACTGGTACATATCATTACAACATGTATATTTTATAAGACCAAGCAGATTTAGTTTACTAGAATCTCAGAGATGTAGATGAGACAACCTCAGAAGTATTTCAATGATATGTAAGTATTATACTTTTGTTTTATTAGGTTTTTGCATAATTTACAATTTAAGAAGGCATCACAAAAGATACAAACTCCCTCGAATGTGGTTAAAGAGTATCTATCTAACAGGATCTTGTCATAGCTTACACTAGCAACTTCATCCTCTGATAATTAAAATAGTATGTCTATTCTTTCCATAAAAAATACAGACAGAAATATTTCACACAAGAAATACAATTCACACCTACAATTGCAAAGGAAGGATACAGAAAACTGCATAAAGTTTAACAGATTTATAGCTAAGTAACAGCTGCACTTTAACGTCCAGATTGAGTTGTAAAAATGATAAATACCCTCCGATTTGTTTAATGAAATAAATCCCTACAACAATGATAAATGTCAATATTCACAAGATTGGAATGCAACCTTGTCTGGAAGGGGAATAATAGTTAAGCAGTGTTAATTAAGTGTATATCTGAAATTTGATTACAATTTATGACGTCTTTTAACTCCAGGTAATTAATTAACACTGTGACAACCAGCAGCCTACAGTAGTATTTACCTTCCCACAGTTACGGCAATGATGGCGTCGACGAACAAATGTGAACGGAGTCTTACAAGATGTACAGATTATTGTGTGGTCGTCAGGGACCCAGCTTGGAGGCTCTGTACAAATTAACACGAAAATTAGGTCACAAAACTAACTCCAGTCCAACAAACATTGGTGGTGTGTGCAAAAACTAGCAAGTTCAACAAACATTGGTGGTGTGTGCAAAAACTAGCAAGTTCAGCAAACATTGGTGGTGTGTGCAAAAACTAGCAAGTTCAGCAAACATTGGTGGTGTGTGCAAAAACTAGCAAGTTCAGCAAACATTGGTGGTGTGTGCAAAAACTAGCAAGTTCAGCAAACATTGGTGGTGTGTGCAAAAACTAGCAAGTTCAGCAAACATTGGTGGTGTGTGCAAAAACTAGCAAGTTCAGCAAACATTGGTGGTGTGTGCAAAAACTAGCAAGTTCAGCAAACATTGGTGAGTGGCAAAACAAGGACAATGTAATAATAAATTTGTACGTCAATTTGGTGTGTCAAAATTAATAAAGATCTGTAAAAATAAATGCATGGCAAAATTATAAAGCTCTTACAACTTTATTGTGTCAAATACCAGTATTTAACTTCACAAACGTTGATGTGTCACAATAATAGCATCAAGTTTTATATGGCAATATTAATAAAGTTCTGCGACCATGTGATCACCAGGAACCCAATTAGGAGGGTCTGTAAACATTTACAGTAACACATTAAGGATGTTAACATGGTTAGTAGAGGTAAGAGCATATTAAAAACTCAATAATTGTTGTCACATCAATCCTCTATGCACATTATAACTGATAAATGATCAAGCTAACCATTAGAGCATGATTATTTTGCTTATATTGTAATTCCTTTATGTGGGGTCAATCTTTAACACCTTTATTTCAACAAGGTTTCTATTTTCTCACACAGATGCTACCGACACTCTTCACTTTTCAAAGATCAAAATTTGACTAGATGAACTGCAACACTGATTTTCATTCAAAGATTTTTTGTTTACTGCTGATTTATGACCTTACCTCTGACTCTAGTCCTGCGATGACGGTGTCGGTGGGGTGTACTGCGATGACGGTGTTCTCTGGGAGGATCCTGAACTCCAGTGTGTATGATGCGGGGACTAGTGGACTTGCCCTGATGTTCCTCAACTGACGGAGGCTCAGAAGAGTTCATTGCAAATACACACTTGAGGATGTGGCGTAGGTCACCTGCATAATTTGTCTGCAGCTGATCTGCCACACCTGGAGAGACAGGACAATGTCTAGGTCACAGTATGTTTTTGAGACAAACAAAATTGAAGACAGAACATGTATGAAACCAAAGCATATATAAAAACGATATTCAATGTAATAGGATGCTGATTACTTTTATATTCATTTACTTATATTTTCATCTCGCACACATCCCAGCAGGTTCATGTAAATCCTATACTGTACATATCAGCTTTGTGTATACATTCAAGCCTTCTTATGTATGTACTTATAATGTATGTCTTTACCTGCTATACAGACAAACAGCCGGTGAATAAGATCCCCACTGCTGCTGAACCGAGAACGAGCCTCTGTCCGTGATGCAATCTCCGCTGCCTGAATGGCCAGAGCGATCTCTTCCTCATCTGGGCATTCAGAGTTGTAGGAACTGGTCTCGCTGCTTCCTTCGCTACAACAGATAATCATTTCCGTAATCAGACGTAATTTAAATATGCATCCGACTATCAAAATTACTACTAATTTTTACAGGTCTTTAATTATATATAATTCATTCACCCCTGAAGACACATTTGAACTCTTCCAAATCAATGGTTGGAATAGTTCATTATGACGTTTCAGAGGTGAACGAGTTAAAATTTAAAGGAAACAGATTCTTCATTGCCTCATCTTTACAGAAAGGATATCATACAACAAGGATTCTATACAGGGAACATGACCTCATCTTCGCTGTCAGGGTATCAACCAAGAATTCACTGTCGGGATATACCATAGACTCTGAACAAAGAACATGGCATCATCTTCATCACAAGGATATAAACCAAGAATTCACTGTCGGGATATACCATAGACTCTGAACAAAGAACATGGCATCATCTTCATCGCAATGATATAAACCAAGAATTCACTGTCGGGATATACCATAGACTCTGAACAAAGAACATGGCATCATCTTCATCGCAATGATATAAACCAAGAATTCACTGTCCAGATATACAACATAGACTCCGAACAAAGAACATGGCATCATCTTCATCGCAAGGATATAAACCAAGAATTCACTGTCGGGATATACAACATAGACTCCGAACAAAGAACATGGCATCATCTTCATCGCAAGGATATAAACCAAGAATTCACTGTCGGGATATACAACATAGACTCCGAACAAAGAACATGGCATCATCTTCATCGCAAGGATATAAACCAAGAATTCACTGTCGGGATATACAACATAGACTCCGAACAAAGAACATGGCATCATCTTCATCGCAAGGATATAAACCAAGAATTCACTGTCGAGATATACAACATAGACTCCGAACAAAGAACATGGCATCATCTTCATCGCAAGGATATAAACCAAGAATTCACTGTCGGGATATACAACATAGACTCCGAACAAAGAACATGGCATCATCTTCATCGCAAGGATATAAACCAAGAATTCACTGTCGGGATATACAACATAGACTCCGAACAAAGAACATGGCATCATCTTCATCGCAAGGATATAAACCAAGAATTCACTGTCGGGATATACAACATAGACTCCGAACAAAGAACATGGCATCATCTTCATCACAAGGATATAAACCAAGAATTCACTGTCGGGATATACAACATAGACTCGGAACAAAGAACATGGCATCATTTTCATCGCAAGGATATCAACCAAGAATTTACTGTCGAGATATACAACATAGACTCCGAACAAAGAACATGGCATCATCTTCATCACAAGGATATCAACCAAGAATTCACTGTCGGGATATACAACATCCGAACAAAGAACATGGCATCATCTTCATCGTAAGGATATACAACAGACTCCAGACAGGGAATATGGTCCCATCAGATGATCTTCACTGTCAGGATATCGCTTGACATTAACTCAAAACAGGGAACATGGCCTCATATTCAGTGTCAGGATATAACACTTATACTCTGGTCAAAGGAAACAGGTTATACTCTGGTCAAAGGGAACAGGTATACAGTGTACATATTTCATGGGTCAAGATTTGACATCATTTGTGTCAACCCTTCACTAACTCAACAAAATAAATTTATAGCTGAACCTTGATGTACCAAGCAGAATTCTAACTTTCGTAAATGTCCCAACCAAATTTTGTTAAATTATCCCTGTGTGGGATGGATTTTCAACAAAGGCTGTCAAAAAGATTCCACTAGCGGGCATACCAAGTCCTCCTACAGCCTAGAGGCATGTCTATTACATTGAACATTTTTGTACTTTTTCTTGAATGTTTACTATTTGGTAGTATATATAGCTTTTTATTAAAATGAAGCAACATTTCTAGTTCAAACATGCATTCCAAATGATGAGGACAAAACCTTTGCTATATGTTATTACCTGCTATCCCACTCGTTTTCATTGTTACTAAGGCAACTAGAGTAGCTGGAACTGACACTGTCTGTGTACCGTAGTCTTTGTATTCGGGGCATTTCCAACGTATTGCTACCTGAGGTTGAGGCAGTCTGATCCCTGGGACCAGAGTCCACCACAACTTTTGTTTTTGTGTGGATAGAGGAACGATTTGGTCTTGGCAGCGGTGACCGTGGACGGTCAACCAAAGTTCTGTTTTCTGAAGATACCCCAGCTATCCTTGCTGGGCTGTGATCAGCCCTATTTGATGATTGTGAATGTCCGAACGTGGAACTTGAGGGTCTTTCAGAGGAATGCTGACAAGTAGAACGAGGTGTATGATCACAGGTATTGTCTGTATCGTGCCCTGAAGCATCGTGTCTACTCAAACTGCCTCCAGTCCCAGGATCACAATTACAAACATGGTCAGACAGGGAGCAGTCTGAATCAGCACTGTTGACAGGGCCTTGATCACAGTTACAAATATTTTCCACGGAGATACCACTCCCACTGGAATCACTGCTGCTGGTGTCCCCACTGCTGCCATTCCCAGTATCACATCTCAACCTCTTTTTACTACAGCTGGGACAGGCAACATAAATATCACAGGTATTGGCACACGGTACAGTGCTATTGCTAGGTGTACTACAGTTATCACAAGTTTTATCATTACAGATCCTCGCTGAACTAACGTTTTGGTCTTTATCACAAGGCCCAGACATGTCAAAGTAATTGGAACTATTTGCTGGGCTTTCACAATTTTCCCAATTTGAATCATACAATTTCTGTCTATCAGAACTTTCGTCCGGATCAAAATCAAAATCCATTTCCTTGGATCCTGCAGGTTGATTATCTGGATGTAGTTCTGTGATGGATATTCTTGGAATTTCAAAATCCAGGTTGTATGGACAACTGTGGTGGCGTTTAAACTGAGGAGATTGCTCTGATAGTCCTTCCAACACTTGGTCAATCATTTCATCTAAAATATGTCTGCATAAAACATACACATCATTTTCAGGAAAACAACAACTTTTCATACAAACATTCTGTGCATCGTCCCCGGCGCTGCTGGTTGAGGTTTTATCATGAGATCTGCCGTCTGACGAAGCGTAGCCGGACGCCTGATCACTACTGTTTGTGTCACTGACATTAACCACCGCCCCTGTGTCTACGAGCACAGTGTCAGATGTACTAACATTTTCACTGTGGAGTCCTGAATCCCTACTCTCAGATTTATTCAAACTGGAATTGAAGGACTCGTCTTTCTCTTCCAAAGAACTGATCAGTGTCCCCGTGGGGGAAGCATCTTGGTCTTGTGTGTTATACTGTCCCATTGATTGTGATGTTGAGGGGAACACAGGGAAGTCAGACGTCCCTGGGTCTATCACAGGAGTTATTGGGGTCACAGGACTTCCCGAGTTAGATGTATGGTGAAGGATGTTACCCAAGTCTTCTAACTTGACACTTCCATCAGGAAACAAACTGGACCCTGTTGGATCTAAGCTGTCCTCAAACCCTGCATCTGTTTGAGAGATGCGGCTTGTAAGGGTGGAGGTTGATGTTTCAGGCTCGTCAGCACTACATAAAGCTTTCTCAAGAGCTAGTAGCTCCCGCTGGGAAAGTGTGTACAGTAGGTCTCTGAAACATATAAGCAGACTGTAAGTGAAGTTTTACATTTGGCTGTTTATGTGAGATAATTTTTAGTCAATGTTTCATATTCAAATCCTTAAACGATATCCGAATCGATTGTGATCAATCTGAGGGTCTGACAACTAAAATTTAGTGAGCAAGGACATACAAGTTACATAGATATAATCCCCCTCACCCCACCAAACAGGGCAAGAGAGACCTTTGGCTGTTGACAGATGACCACCAACACCTAACCAGGTGTAGAACTGGCCTATCTATGGAGTAAATATAAACTAAATTTGTTAATGGCTTCTCAGATGTCTTGTACACAAACGTTTCACTAGCTACAGATTAACATACCGACAAAGTGGTCATTATGTAGGGGAGAATTATGCTAACTAGGTGAAGGGCATACTTGCTTACAAATGATAATTGAATCTTAATGATAAATATGTATGGGTTCCAATCTTTCAAGACACTGTTTCACTGTATTCTGATGCCAATGAACGTCAACACAATTAGGTCTATTAATTTCATTACACTGTATTTTGGAAACTTACATTTTTTTCATCATTCTTTGGCAAAAAAAACAGTTTTACTTCATATTATTTTGAGAAATGTCTACCTTGATAATTGAGTTGTTTTTGTTTTACCTGATTTTCAGTAAAAGTGTCTGAAATGGCCTGAACATCTCCGACATATTGGATGGCTGCATGTCCGGATTGAGGGGGCCCTCAGGAAACACCAACAATCCACTGTAAACACAAAAGGATTCCTTTAGCACCGGGTTGGTACCGACAAGCTGAATGATTGAATTCTAGGAATCAACACACTGTCCATTATGTTCTGACAAGACGTCAAACTTCTATTTGAAGCTTTGTACAAAGTAACAATATTTTTCAAAAAACCCAATTAAGTATGTATTGATGCATTGAATTGTAACATGAGTATTGCAATATATCAATTTAACTCTATTACATCCTTGAACGTCGGCATCTGTCAAGGAGCGAAAGTATCAGTACTTTGCTATCAGTGTTATATCTTAGTACGTGAGTTTTGTATAAATGTCAAGGAATGGTTAATTAGAACAAAAGAACAGTTTTGTATACATATGTTATTGTCAATGAACAGTAAGTAAAAGTATCATGGGGGTTTTGTAGAACTGTCAATGAAAGTTAAGGATCCATGTCCCAATGCAATGTGTTTTACCTATATACAGTAATCTCTCCTTAACTTCCTGAAGGATCCATGTCCCCATGCGATGTGTTTTACCTATATACAGTAATCTCTCCTTAACTTCCTGAAGGATCCATGTCCCCATGCGATGTGTTTTACCTACATACAGTAATCTCTCCTTAACTTCCTTAAGGATCCATGTCCCAATGCAATGTGTTTAACCTATATACAGTAATCTCCCCTTAACTTCCTTAAGGATCCATGTCCCAATGCAATGTGTTTTACCTATATACAGTAATCTCTCCTTAACTTCCTTAAGGATCCATGTCCCAATGCGATGTGTTTTTTCTATATGCAATAACTTCTGTTTAGCTATAACTGTAGAACAATTCTTTAATTCAGGTAGCTAAGTCAGAGTAATGGTTTAGCAGTCTGATGATCAGGATTCCAATCTGGATCCAGCCCTGTGGTGGATTTTTTTCACACTCAGTACAATGTTGTTGATTACATTTTTGTTTATTTCATATTTATCATTTCACATAAAACGTCCCACAAGGTATGTATGGTTTTCTTTACAGAAATGATTTAACAAAGCTAAACAAAAACAGTTTCCTATAATTAGTTACAGTTTTTGTCAGTGGTCAGATGGTTAAGTAAGAGTAACGTGCCTGATCATGGCCAGCCTGGGAATGGTGAACATGAGTGCTGGGTCATAGTCGTCTATCATATCCTGGCTCAACAGCTTTTGCTTTAAGGCCCTAAATGAATACAAAAAAATAAATATGAAAATCTAGAATGTAAGACGGCACATTTGTGCTGGTATAAAGTATTAAGATATCCAGGAGAGAAACATGTTTAAATATAATTCTTTCCTAATTGTTTTGATTGTAGAATCTTATCAATAGCTTAATGACATCCTGTGGTAATGTGCCGATTTCCAAAGTTTATTAAGGTGAAGTTTGTCCATGAATATACAATGCAGAGCTCTTTTGATGTAAATAATACTTCACTTTATATTTAATTCCCAATACTCAATAAGCATTATATCCGTGTTAGAACTATTACCTCTGAACAGTTTCAGAAAACAGCACTGTTATTTCCTGTAAGAGGTCATAGTCCTTCATACTTTTCACTGGTACCATAGCACTAACATATCTGAAAAGGACACAAGATTATTAACGGTAATACTACATCTATTTCAAATGAACTGCCAATCCCCACTCCATATACATATTTTAGAATAATATTCTTCTATTAAAGATCCAGTTCATGATGTATTAAAAGCCATGCATGTGACTATTCTTCAAATTCTAAGATAAGCTTAAGATAAAAATCTATCACTCAGAATTCAGCTGAGTTATGAATATTTTACAAATCAAGTGAGATGATCCCATTACTTTAAATATTTAAGGAACTCACCTTAATTCAAATTCAGCAAACAATTTATCAAATATGATTAATGCTTCTTTGATCTACAACAGAGAAAAAATATTCATCATTTCATATTCATGTTCATTTCATTTCATGTTCATTAACAAATGTATTTAACAAGCAGTGACTGCTTCAAAAACCAACATAATATTTAGGAACATACTAAATGTCCGAAATGTATCAACGCATGGAAGAACCATAACAGAAATGTTAATATAAAGTTTTGTCGCAGTCATTCTCATTGAAATTGAGAGAAAGTAAAAAATGTTGCAGCTTTTAGTGTAAGAGTTGAGATTGTGAAACAAGAAATGTCCTAAACTAGTCTTTGTATTAATGACTTACCCTTTTAGTGTAAGAATTGAGATTGTGAAACAAGAAATGTCCTAAACTAGTCTTTGTATTAATGACTTACCCTTTCAGAGTAAGAATTGAGATTGTGAAACAAGAAATGTCCTCAGCTAGCCTTTGTATTAATGACTTACCTTTTCAGAGTAAGAATTGAGATTGTGAAACAAGGAATGTCCTCAGCTAGTCTTTGTATTAATAACTTACCCTTTCAGAGTAAGAGTTGAGATTGTGAAACAAGAAATGTCTCCCAACTAGTCTTTGTTTTAATAACTTACCCTTTCAGAGTAAGAATTGAGATTGTGAAACAAGGAATGTCCTCAGCTAGCCTTTGTATTAATGACTTACCCTTTCAGAGTAAGAATTGAGATTGTGAAACAAGAAATGTCCTCAGCTAGCCTTTGTATTAATGACTTACCCTTTCAGAGTAAGAGTTGAGATTGTAAAACAAGAAATGTCCTCAGCTAGCCTTTGTATTAATGACTTACCCTTTTAGTGTAAGAGTTGAGATTGTGAAACAAGAAATGCCCCCCAACTAGCCTTTGTATTAATGACTTACCCTTTCAGTGTAAGAGTTGATATTGCGTAAACACTGTTCTCTAAGTAACGTCCTCAAGCTGTCAAGGTTCTTTGTCAGGGCCCTTGCTAGTGGTCGCATACTTGCACTCTCTACTTCTCGATTCATGATACTTGACCCAGCAGCAAGGCACTTGAAAGTAAAATGTTTAAATGATATTTTAGAATTGATCGAATTAAGAAAGTCATAACCATGACCTTGAAGATGTTTTGAGAATATTGTGGCAAATTTTCCATCAGGAAAAATATCACCATTACCCTTTTATAATTGTGATACTTGAACTAAACATTTTATACTATGCCCTGTTCTTATTTCAGAAATATTCATTACAAACTTTTTCTTAACTAAGCAATGGTATACCTGTATATGGGATTGTTATACAGGATCTGATTGTGAAGGAAACATACCTTCTTACTAAAGTGCTTTGTAAAACTGAATCAAGATGAGTAATTATCACCAAATTGACAAGTGGTTATATTTGTATTTTTATCACATTTTGAAACACTGTATTAAAAGTGAAACATAAATGTTAATTAAACAACTGATATGACAATACCTCAGCTCCAAACCAGAGCTGCCCTGCCAGATTTTCCTGTTGGACATCATCAGGAAATTTTACTCGATAGTCCCTGCTTGCTTTCTGATTGCCAACAGCTTCATCAATGACTTTTTGTGTTATGACAAGGACTTTGTCCTGACAGTTCCTCAGTTTGTTTACTAAGGTTGTACATCTTTCTGGATCTTTACGTCCATCAAAACTGTCAAGCTCAGCAGCCACAAAGTTAAGTTCTTCATCAGCAAAGAAGAACTTTGCCAAAAGGGAGGTATCAGTTTTCTGAAATCAAATACTGTTTGGTGAGCTGATGCATAGAATTTATATATATTCCTCCTTAATGATTACATAAATAATCTTGCATTAATTAAGACAATATTCTCCATGAACTCCCCAATAACATTATGAATATGCATTCGAGAGTGAGTGTACTAATATATTCTAAAACAAGTGATTTTTTTTTTAAATCAAATAAAAAGTTATACTTGTAATAAAATCAGCTAAAGTACATTTACATCAGTTTTATTAACAAATGAAATTTACAAGTTATCATTATAGAAGTTTTAGAAAAATATATGTTATACATAATAAGTTTTTTTAACAATTTAATAGACACAAGCTTAAGCCTATGTAACCTTACACTTATTATTACTTGCCAATTTGTGATAGGACTGTTGAAAGATTATGATCATGATAGGTGTACAGATTTCAGACTTGACCAAACATTGTACATGGTAAATGTTTGTCGGTATATCCGCATCAGTGCCTATTAGCAATCAGGAATTGTGTAATATATAACAGTTAATTCACATTTGAGAGCTCACTGGCAATAAGAAGATTGTGTGATTATGTACAGGAGACAGGGTAGGGAGAGTTGATTTATCATATATATCTTCATATAGAATTATACATGACACCTTAAATAATGTATCTTAAATAGTCATAACCTTTCAGAATTACGAGAAACTAATCTTTGGGCCAGGACAGTGAAGCGGAAGAGACCTTATGGGCATAACATGTGGCCTTGTTACTGTAAGTTGTTCTCTTTGCAGGCACAATCTTTGCCTATGAGAAAAGTTATATATTGCACTCATGTGAAGATCGGAATAATGAAGAAGTATCCAAATACATACATGTAGATGTAATGATAATAATTTTTAATGAAGGATTATTTTAAACTTTATTTGGGACCATGCTGCGACAAATCTTGAGAGTGATGGTACAGTTTGTTACCTGTACTGTATTATGATAATGTATTGAAACTGAGGTTTGTGGTCTAAATTCCATGCAAAAGAGCTTAATAAGAGTACTTCCAGTTCTATTATACACACATACAGAACTGATTTGCAAGACAAGTTTATATATCATTGTACATTTTCCGGGGGACAAATGAGAATTCAAGGACATTGATGCATAGAAATAAACCATTGACAACCATCAAGTTAAACATGTCGACTCCTCAGACTTTCTCTCTTAAAATGTTACATTTAAAAGTAGATGAACCAGCGCCTGTCTACATAAGAATCAGGCCCCAACTGAAGTTGACATTGTCATGTTGTAAGAGGGTACCAAACAGTACACACATCTTTCCTAGTGTTTATATTAGCAATGACAATGTAAGAGGGTTCAGTACGACACATGGATGTGCAGCGATTTCCTGCGACACAGCTAGTCACAGGGATTTCTTACAGGTCTCTCAAGACACATATTCTTTTATTTACTTTTATTATGCAAACCGGGTAAATATTTCGCTAGAAGATCTTACTAGCAGTGTTTTTAAAGGTAGACAAATTAGGACATTTTTCATGAAAAAACTAATTATATAATGTACCTATTCATACTAATAATATTATACTATTGAAATAGTTACTATTTTTTTATAACCTTAATGATATAATACTGGTGATACAATGATAGATGTCAAGAAGGGAACTTGGTGTCTTTACAGGTCAGTAAACAAACACAGAAGAGGCATATGCTATATATAGTATCATCACAGGGCCCAGTAAGCTGGCTTTAATTTCTTATCTCCAAAAATCTGGCATGGTGGAGTTGTACACTTAAGACTTTTAGGCAAACATTGTGTGTGTAATGGATCTATTGACTATTGTCTTAAAAAAACAGTTTCAACATTTATCTAATTTTCTTTAAAATACTCAAGCAAATTTTGACTTTTTATGAATAGAACAACAAACAGTATATTGAAATCAATTTTGTACATCATTGAAATCAATTTTCAAGAGAAAAAAATATGGTTATTAGAAATGTCATTGATCGTTTGAGTTTACCAGCCCATTGACCACTATGGTCATTTAGGGCCTTAAGTGTCATATGTGGTGGACAAATGATCAAAGATATAATATCATATATATATGGAAGAATTTTAACTTATGAGTTTATTTTCAATATCTGTACTGTATGAAAATCTTCACCCTTTTTTTAGTTGCTTCTAAATCACTGCACCAAATGTTAACATTACTGAAAAAATAATACAAACAATTCCCAAAAAGATGAATCCACATATGTATACCTATGACTGACTTCAATAGGTTGAAGATCATGGCATGTGTTGTGGTATGAAATGTACATAACATGTGTCATTAGCCTTAGTAGGTGACTTCTCTAATTTGGGTTACATTTGATGCCCTCTGGCTAACAGGATTAATTGCAGCTGTCAAAATTACCAAGACTAAGGAGTTACACCCTGATCTTAACATCTGACAAAATTCAATTTAACAAAAAAATAAATTTCTTCTGATTATGTCGTTTCCGTGTTAACACGAGGCCATGGTCCTAGATACAAGATTATTTTTAATTTAGAGTCGTATATGTTGTGATGTGTTAAGACGAGGCCATGGTCCTAACAAAGACATTGTAAATAAATAGTTTGACAAGCAATTTCGAAGTATTTGTAAATATTCTCCGAAAACAGGGTAACAGACCAGACATAAGGGGACGTTTTAATTACAAGTAAAAAGAAAACCACAGGTCACATTTATGTTTAATTAGATAGTGATTTCATTGCGCTTAAATGGAAAATAAGTTAGTAAACATAGGTAATAAAGCGACATATATATATCAAACTGTCACGACATCCGCCTTGTGTAAGTTGTGATCAACAGACATGTAACAAAACATTTGTCATCGAAACGGAATTTCTCAAGTTAAATATGACAATATATCGACATACCTTTGGTTTGTAAAGCCATCTCCGCAAGGAATTCATTGTGAAAAAGTTTGGTTTGCATTACAGAAAAAATCTGTCTTCCTTTTTAGTCACATGAAACGGTTGTCTTTAGTCATCTCAACCCCACCAATATGGAGTCTCGCATTTTATCGCGAGAAGAACCTCACTCGAGATTTCCTGATTGAATCTTACTCGTAAAAATGTTTATTGAAACGAGAGAATCCTTTAAGTAGAGAAGCGCCAAATCCACAAGGCATGATTCTTATTCAATGAAGTCCAAACTGCAAACTGCGGGTAATGCGATATGACGGAAAACACGGAGGATACAGATCGATTTGGTTTTAACATCAGTTGATTTCTTTCAATAATGGCAGAAAAGCATACACGCTTTCCAGAAACATGGAATGATGATGCGAGAATGACAGTTCTGTTTGCTCCATTCAGAGACAAATCCTTAAACCCCAGTTCATGGGATCAGAAAATGACATTTTGGTCCAACCTGATCGTGTCCGATTGTACAATTTGTGGTGACATTGTCATTGACGTCAAAACATTGCCATGTAGGTTTCAGAGGAATGGGAAGACTCCTGCATGTCTCAGTTCAGTGGTCGATGAAATGGAAAGGTAAATTTATTTGTTTTGTTGGTCATTCAGAACGGCCTCAATATGGTCTCTTTGAAAAAACTTGCGCACATTTATTGAAGTGCGCACCAAACACGGTGCGCTAAGTTTTCAAAGAGACCATATGTAGAACGTTCTGACCATCCCAACCCCATCAAAATCAAGCTAAAAGGAGATGGTCACTAGTCAGTTATTTCGGACTAAAATATGATGTGCATTTACCACCATCAGAGGTTGGTAACAACACAGCCTGAATTTATCTGGCCCCTTTCACAGTTTATGACATAATCTGACCGCTTGTTGTCTATGATTGGCCAGATAACGCTAAGTCTTTTCGCACTTAGTTGTTTCCCCCTAAAACTATTTCAAGGGCAAAACTGTTTCAGTCCTGTTTAGTTGCGTATGGTTTATACAGTCTCATTTGAAGTTTTCCTCAGTCTCCCTTAGTCTTTTTTGTCATTATAAGAGTCATTAGATTCGTACGTGGTTGATGTTGTAACTGGTCAACCAGATCTGCACATACAATGTAGCATACACCTGCACAAAATTCTTCTGTCAACACAATTGTTGGTGAAACAGGAAAAAAGTAAGCTTTTTTAAATATTATAATCATTTCAGCTGATTTATAACTTAATTATATATATTTTCAGGGTTTTAGCCAGGGCCTTAAAAGGTCCGGTAGAGGTCCCATTCCCAATTGAAAAATGACCAATTTCAGTGTTTATTTCCCCAAATTTTTCCAGTTGGATAAGAAATACCTGTTAATAAAATGTTCGAGGCGTTATATGTGCAACATTCAAAATATTGAATGAAGGAGCATTCAAAATACTTAAATAATGAAAATTTGAAATTTAATAAACAAAAACACTGAAAATTGATGTGTTTATTTATTGTTATGTATTTTACTGTACGAAACAGCCAGGGAAAGACTTTTTTTTGCTAATCACATTGCAGGTTTTATTGTATTTTCCAAAACCTGTACATGTGGGAACACTGATGTTATTTTCCAAAGCCTGTACATGTGGGAACATTGATAAAATATTTCCCAAATTTTGCCAAATGCAGACAATATATTCCAAATTCCTGCTCAGGGGCCCTTTTCCAAATTGGCAAAAACCCTGATTTATATTAGGGCGAAACAATTAACTTTGGGCAAACTGGATTAAGGGTGAAAAGACCGGGATCCATTGATTGCTGGTGACCAGGTAGCTTGGTAAGAGCATCCGACCGACCTAGAGTTTGGAGAGTTCCAAGGTTTGAATCACAGTCTGGTCATTTTTCTCTTTTCTTTTGCATTTACAATTGGCACTTAACTGAACCTACAGAATTGAGTATACGTTTTGGTGCGTCTGGTCAAAATACTTTCTTTTAAGGAGTAAAGTAAGTGGAATGGGTTGATCGCCAGTGATCTGGTAGCTCATTTGGTGTGTCAAACAAGAGTTCAGAAGATATTTCCTACATTTTCGCATAATTACAAACCCCCAAAATTCCAAGCCAATATTTTTTTTTATATATATATATATATAGCATGTTTTACCATTTGCCTAATCAGGAATCAGTGAGGCACAAGTTCCGCAAGGTTGCTGCCACTTGTTTGGACTGTTTAAAAACGAAAAATATCTATTTCAATATTAAAACATATGATTTAAGAATAAGATTTTCTTTTCCATTTATGAAGCATTTTCAAGGTTATAAATATGACTATTTATTGCTTTATGAAATTTAATTTAGTAGAGATAATTCCTCAACTTTAGTGTTGTTTACTACCTGTTGACCTTCATAATGATACATTGATAATGCTTTGATAAATCCAAGAATGAAGTTGACCAAATATTGAATTATAATCTGTTTTAGATGGGTTCTATTGCATTGATTTGTCTTTGATGTTTTTAGAACAGGAAAGTTGAAACAAGTAGCAGATACAGAAATGTCTCCATCAAATCAAGGTGCTGCCAGAAAAGGCTGGATGTCATGGGGTATGGACACGTTTATAAAAGCTCCCATTTCCATGGGATGGAATCTGATGACCAAGCCAACCATATCCAGCACAAAACTAGTTGTTGTTGAGGCTCTAAAGGTAAAACTTTGTAGCTTTACATATACCTACTATGTAATCAGTGATTGTGTTTGACTTTAATTCTGTATTCATGCATGTATTATGACTACTTCTGATATATAGTACACTGTTACAGTTTATTGTATAAAGTTGAGAATTCACTTATAACTAAATAGATGTCAGCCTCTGTAAACTCCAGTGGAGGAGGTTTTCATCCTACCACATTTCAAAAGACTGTAAAATGTATGAACATTTTCACAGCATCCATTGAGTGAACCATATGAATCTCACATTGTTAGGCAAATATTTGTAATGACTGCAATGTATAATTGGAAAAATAACTTTCAAATATTGTCTTTCAGTCTCCTTCAGAACTGAATTGATTTCTTTTAAAAAAAAAAATCAACATACCAGTAATATTAATTATTACTAGTTAAGACTGCACCGGTAAATTAATTATTTACTGAAGTACTTTGAGGTCCATTTAACACATCATTACTATAATTGCAATATAATGTACAGTGTTATTCAATTACCATATTGATGTTACACGAAGGACTTCTGCTTTACCATCAGATTTCTCTTAAGTAAATGAATCCAAGTAATTTCGTAATGACAAAGCAATGAAACCTTTTTTTTCAGTCAAAGTGTGAGGAGGTTTGCAGACTGCAGTGTGCATGTATGGACTGTGATATAACTGACTCTGTGATAGAATACTCTGAACTCTGGGATAGATGTAGAGAGCTGTGTAAAACCGAGGGAGAGTTCTACCTAGTGCTGAAGGAGCTGGACAAGGAAAAGAGGATCATGTTTTACCACACAGATACCTGTCTGGTAATTAAGTGATTATGAAGAAGGACTGTTGGATAAATACACTGCAAGAAATTGCTGTAGTAAACTCCCAATGACCATTATTAGAACTAAGGTTAAATAGTTGTAAACTTGGGTGTCTTGAACCCCCATTAGTTACCAATCTTAAATATTAAGACATTGTATTAAAGTGTTAAACATCGTAAATAAACATTTAAAACCCTGTAACCTATCATAAATAAACATTGTACAGCATTGTTACCCAGCTTAAATATTAAAACTTAAATTAACATTGTAAAACACTGTCACTTGAGAAGATTAAGTTGAAATCTACAATAACTGCAAGGTAAAATCCATTCTTAGTCTCCACTATATAGAAATCATTTGACTACTTTGTCTTTATTTTATGTTTCTCATCAGTGTATTTTTCTGTTACAAGCTTGTAAAGTTTCCCCAGAGGTCGGAGTCTACAGCTGGACCAGTGACTGAACAGGATATCCAGATATATAGGTAACGTAATTTAAACAAAAGATGTATGTGGGAAGGTTATTTGTCATGTAAAAATGATAAATAACAGACTGAACCTAAGTGATGTTTAGTTTTAGTGGAGAAGATAAAATCTTTATGACTGTACCAAAACAGAATTCCTAACTGTTAAAATAAATTGATAAGCAGACCTGTAATCAGCTATGTCCTCAATACAATGATCCATGCTATATTTGTTTAACTCCTCTCTTGAATAACAATTCAGGAACATTTCAATATATTAATATTGTGACTTTGTTCCCGATCTCTTGTTTAAGCATATGTATTTGAATGAAAGGGAGACATAATGTATTAGTAAGCACTGTTTCTTTTATTTCTTTTGGTTGAGGTTTTTCTAATAGGATTTTCTCCATATCATCGCTTTAAAATTGTCAATGAAATTTGAACTATACCTGTATCACCCACAGAAGATGTGCAGTGTAATATGTGAATAAGGGGAGAAATTTGTTTTTGTTCATAAAAACAAATATTTGATTGTTGCCCCTTCATTTACAGTATGAAGAAAGCTTCAAAGGTCCTTCTTGATAGAATAGAGAAGCTTGGAAAAGATGTTGATAGGTAAGTCACACAATGCTATTATAACATAGACTGCATATCTCCTTGTATGGTCACTCTCTGAAACATTTGTAAATTGAAATATCCCAAAAAATAAAAATGATTATATGACTACTTTCATTGAAATGTTGCAATATTTAAAAGTTACATATTGCATACTGATACTCTCTATTATACAGATACACTCCAATAAACTTCCTTTATGTAGAGGAACAACTCCCTCAATACAAACAAGTCTATAAAACTAATCTGAAGTGTGTGGTTACACTTCATTTGTCAGTGATGATCCAGTTATTTTTCTTACCCTAATTTTTGTTTGTTAAATACATGTACCTATGATTTATTATCAAATTCCTATTATTTTAGGTTAACAGTGGAAGCAAAAATGCATAAAAGGAAAGATATGAAACAATATGTAAGTTTGAATGATGTTGTTCCTGAGTTAATTTGTCCCGTCTGTCTGTCCATTCTTCTGTATAAGTCATTCTGACTTACTCCTTGTATCACTGTAGTGGCTATATTTCGTGTCAGATTTTGATAAAACACATATGTTTGCTTTTGGCAAACTTCGGATGAGTTAAATTATGAGCAAGTTTGTTCTGAGTTCAAGGTTAATGTTATCAAAAATAACATTTTAGTGACACCTCATCATCTTGGCTGTATTGTGAAACTTCAAAGATATGTCAACCTTTGACACACCTTGGACAAGTTTGAACATGTGCAAGATGGTTGAGGTGAAGATCACTGTTACTAAAAATATAATTTCATTGTCACACCCTTTGTCATCTCTATTTAATTACTTATATGCCAGGCATTACGATCCCTGCGACAGCGACGACGTACACAGAACAGGATGAGTAAGCTGTCTGGCTCGCTGGATATGATTGACGATGTCCTCAGTCGAATACAGCATGCAGCATCTGACGAAATGGTGAATTTTCTCTGAATGTCCTTCTTATAAATAAACTGAATTGGTCTCATCATTAGGAAAAATCTTAAAGATAAACTGTTCTTCGGTCAGTTGGAACAATCATTTTAATTTGATTTTTTTATGACCCCACCTTCAAATGGGGGGCATAATGATATAGTGTTACCCATGTCCGTCCCGTCCCGATTTAATGTAAACACTTAGCAACTTCATTCTTTGACAGATTTTGGTCAAACTTTATACAAAGGTCAAGTATGAGTATACTTCGGACATCGTCGTATTTCAGGGATCCAAGGTCAAGCCCAAGGTCACACTTGCTATATATAGAAAATCATCAACTGATTCAATTTAAACACTGAGCAACTTCATTCTTTCATGGATTTTGGTCAAACTTTATGCAAAGGTCAAGTATGAGTATACTTTGGACATTGTTGTGTTTCAGGGTTCCAAGGTCAAGGCCAAGGTCACTGTTGCTGTATATAGAAAATCATCTACTGATTCAATTTAAACAGAAAAAACATATGAATATTAAAATCAACTTTAAGTGTAGTACCTTGTGTGTGTGCATGTTTCAGGGTATCAAGATCAAAGTGGTTGTAACTTTTTATAGAACACTGAAACTAATTTCACATGGCAGCGGGGGCATTGATGTCTTACAGACTTTTTTTCTTTCTTTCAGCAAACATATTAGTTTAGGGTATTTGAAGGTATTACTGTATTAATTACACTCTACAGTGTATTTGAAGTATTACTGTATTAATTACACTCTACAGTGTATTTGAAGTATTACTGTATTAATTACACTCTACAGTGTATTTGAATTGTCATGTTAATTCATCTTCTAGTTTCATAGCTGGTTATAATTTGATTTTATAATAATAAACATTGTCTTTTCCTACAGGTTTTGAAAGCACTACAAGCTGGTTCTGGTGCCTTGAAAACCTTAACCGACAGAACAGGACTGGACGAGGTTCACCGAACCATGGACAACCTGGCAGAGGTAAGTCAGTGTTGTGTGTCATAAATCTAATGTACCCATTGATCTGCTTCACCCATCGCCACACTTTGGACAGATGTCTTTTCTTTTCTGCAAAATTTATACTTAATCTCTCTTCTGAAACCTTCTATAAATGACCCATTTTCTACTAAGCATTTCTGTATGACTTACAACAAACGTTTGGTTGTTGGTCTCTTCAGTTTAAAATCCTCATGATTATACCATTCAGTTTAAAGAACAATAATTAATATATGTGCTAGTTAAAATTAAATGAATGTTATTAGAGGGTATGTATTCGATATAACTTTGATATGTCTTGTATTGTCTAAACCCATGAAATAAAATAAATCTTCACTGATCTATGACTCAGGTATTGGACCATCAAAATGAAATTGAGTCAGAGATGAACATGTCCAGAATTGGAGATGTCAGCTCTGAAGACCTTGAGAGAGAGCTTGAGAGCCTGATTGGGGAACATATGGCACCACCACAGGGCGACTCTGTAGTGTCACCAGAGAAAGTCAATGTCTCGCCACCTCGCGGAGCTCCAATTACAATCTCCCCAGAAAATGATGTTTTAGGCATAGCAGATCTTTTGGCAGGTAACATGAAAAAAAAATTCATAAACTGTTCTCAGACTATGTGTACCCAATGTAGGCTGTGGTCATTGTTGACAAAGAAAGTCTTGATAAGTTTAATAAAGAAATAAAAGTGAATCAAGATATCATGTGGTCATCCAAACATAATGATACGTTGTCCATAAAGATATAGTAATATTCAAAAGTTCAGCAATTTCTTGTATATAGTTCAACGTAAGAGAAAATTTTAATCAAACTATAATTAATCAATCAACCTATGTTGATCCTTTGTAGTTTTATGTTGTACATTCAGTATGCTGATATTATTGAAATATATTGAAAAATAATAATGCATAGTTAATAATGCATAGTTAATAATGCATAGTTAATAGTTAATAATGCATAGTTAATAATGCATAGTTAATAATGCATAGTTAAAGTTTTCCAGTATTATGAAAATTGTAGTGTAAGAGATGACGTTGCATTGTTGCCGTTATTGTTTCAGGTCTTGACTTTGGTTCACCATCTGGTCCGACCCAATCCAAACAGGCTGGTTCATCATATGGTCTGAACCAATCTAAACCAATTGGTTTACCATCTAATGATATGGCAGATACAACAACAAAATTAGAACTTTCCAATGAAATCTTTGATCTCGACTTTCCTGATGTGCCAAACTTTTCCCCAGGAACACCTGAAAAATCTAATGACAGACAGAAAACATGGACAAAATTGCCACAAAAAGAGGCAGAACCTTCATAACCTACATTGTGTTGCCTTCATGCATCTATAACTTCATCATCAGGTTGCTTTCATGAGTTTATAAAATCAGTCATTCTTCACAGACAGCACTTATTTATCATCACCATCCGCATTATTACCCTGGCTGTTACGAGGATGTTAAACCCAAAACAAACCTATTAATCATCATTTTGTCAACCTGTCTGACAGTCTTAAGATATCTAGAAATGTTGTCCTGAAGATACTGTATCTAGAAATGTTGCCCTGCAATCATCAGGATTTTTTTTTATATTTTGATAAAACTCTAGACCTTACCACTGACTAGGGTTGATTGTTATAGGCTCAGATATTAATGGATACCACTCATAATAGTTGCCAAGCTAGTCATTTCGAGGTAACATGAAAATTTAACACATTTACTAAAAATTGACTTTTAGAAATTTTGTATTCTTTGAAAATTAGCAAAAAAGTGTTCAATTATAACCAGAAAAAAACCTGACAGTACCTTGTAAAGGTGTGAAAACTTGAATAGTAATTCGTAGGTTTGTGAAACCATTTAGTGTTGTGAAGGAGTGAAAACCTTATACCCTAGTACTCTTTGGGAGACAAATCTGTTGAGTACCATTTAGTGTTGTGAAGGAGTGAAAACCTTATACCCTATACTCTTTTGGAGACAAATCTGTTCAGTTCCATTTAAACAAAACGTCCCCGAGTCTGCTTGTTTGTTACAGATATTGCTCCTATTAAATCAATGAAAATTAATCTTTTCTGCCAAGTCACATCAAGCAATTTTTCCCCTTGTTTTCTGTGTTATTCACGTAATACACATTATGACACGTGTGTACTCTATATAATGTATATGGTTTGGTGACCTATGTATGATCATTGCACTGTACAATTGTATGGCTTAACGTAACTTCAACCATTTTCCATTTTAATCATTTAGATAGGAATGAGGTACACTTGAGGTTTTCATCTCGATGCAATACTTTTTGTAAGACTCCTGTCCCATACTAAAGCCTGTGTGGCCTAGCTAGTCATAAGAATTTTAGGGGAAATAAGATATTCTACCAGATTATGTACAATTTATATCTGGTATAACCTGGTGTGATGGAATTTAATGTTAATTCCAATTGTTAAGAACATTCAGTTCCACTCAATCAACTGACAAATATAGAATATTACTTTTTGCATAAAACATCCAAACAATGAACCATTTCAGGTATGTAACCAAGGTGGATGCGTAAGTGCCTCCAAATAGAGTTGAATCCGAAACTTCAGATTGCTAGAAATTCCCTCTAGCAGAGTGGGTAACAAGTGTGTAGATATTGCACAACTGGCATATATATTTAAATAATACAAATCCAGGTTAAAATTGCTTTTCCATAGAAAGAGTAAGGTCAACATAACTACAGTAGGAACCTATTACATGATGTATACTGCTGCTATTTTTCAATGAAATTCCAGCATTATAATGAAAAATTCAAAAGAGGACAACATAATGTCATAAACCAAGTGACATATCACACAAGGTTTTTATGAAGATAATGAATTCAGTCGGATACCAAGGGAACTGATATACCTCGGTCAGAAATGAAACTTGAGGCAGAGTTACATAACTATTAGGTTGGGTACTTCTCAGTATCCACATGTTCTCTATGTAACTCAAACATTGATGAGACAAGGCAGTTAAGGAGGGAAGACCCAAATCGGATCATTCTGCACATACCGTAAACACTTAAATCTTTTAATGTGTCAACAGTTCATGATGTACAATGATATAGCATTAGAATGCACCATTATGTTACAATTTTTTGTCTATAGATAGTTATCTACAAGCTCAAATAGCTTCAGAACATCTATTTAAAACTCAGAAATTTGTGTTTGTTAAATTGTTGAAATACGATTTTAGAGAATGGAATTAACTCCAGAATATTGAAGTAATTCAATATTCAACTTTGATGTAATCATAAATGAAAATACCATCTTTTGAATTGTTAATGACTAGAATGATGGTTGTGATCCATTTCTGGTGCCCTCACCTTATGTTTGAAATAGCAAGTTGGAATATTGAGTTATTAAATTTTCATCAAGATAATTATATACCTTGTATACATGTACTATTATTTAAAATGTATTTGTATTAACCAGTTGTATGGTTCCTCTAGGTAAAAATATTTAATATATTTTTGTACTCGTTGCATGAAATGTTTTAAGTGATGCAAATCTTGTGTCATATTGTCAACATTCATATAAATATCATAAATGGGAAATAATAAAGCATAATATTTTAAACCAATAAATACATTTTATTCTTTATAAGAATCATATAACAGACATTTTACCAATAGCATGGCATTCAGAAATATTTATGTAAAAATTTTAACCAGTGTATGTAAAAGTGTCAGCATTGATACATACAAGTAACACTGGATGTCCATGACTTTGAAAGCTGCATTCAATACATTTCTGACATCCTAAGATCTGATACCGTATATATAAGAGAAATTATCCCAAGATGTCACCCAATTCATCTACTGACATATCGCTCTCTCCTAATCAACAACATTACTCTGGCTACTGACAAAAAGTTAGAACCAAAATGAAATATCCCCACCGATATTTTATAGCCATTATTTAATGTTTAATGATACAGGGTGTTGTGTCCCACTGATCGTAGATTTTTGATTTTTACATATTAAAAAAATAATAATATGGGACAATGTTAATCTGGATGCTATCCCATGAAACTCTCAACATTGTCACAAATGAAGCAGGATTTGGCACACACAAAAGTTGTACTCATCCCTCAAAATTATACATGTTCATGTACTGGATTTCTCCTAGCAGACTCAAGACTAGTGGACTTTTTGTGCATGAAGGATGACCAGTTTGTTTACTTTTAAATGATAACATGTTGAAGAGTAGCCTTTTAAACTTGTAAATTTTAATGTATGTCTAGAAAAGTCTGAACGCAGGCTCATCGGAAAACAACACCAGATCACTTGGTCCATTTTCGTTTAAACAGTCAAACTGGTCGGACCACAGTTCGTTTACCAAATAAGGTCGGACCTAGTAACCTGATGCTGCTTTCAGGCAAGCCTTACAAGGCCTGCATAAACATTTGCAAGTCCGCCAGGAATTATACATGAAATTGTCACATTTATAAACGATCAAACTGGTTGTTCCTCATAAACAAACAGGCCCTAGGTCCAGTCCATTTCATAAAGAAACAAATCTAGTCCAATCTGTAAAACTGTTTGTAACCCGATAAATGAAAGCAGTCAAAATTATTATTACATTGCAATTAGCACTTGTTATTATAATGACATATTTTTACTTAAAATTAACTGATTTTGATATCAAAACTTTTAAACATCATCGGTGCTAGTAAACATATTGAAGACCACTTCTCCAAAAACGTTCTTGTAATAAAAGATGGGGGAATTTTATTGCACAAGTGTTACAGTAATGGTCCCAAGTTCCACTCCTCGCTGATCAAATGTACACACTTATCCTTTATGTACCCTTGAACGTTTATCACAAGAAAGATTCCACATACATCCTTTGTTGACAGCTATTCTTTAGGACAATCATCCCCTTTCACATATGAGGTCTATCACCTGCAAATAAATGAAAAAGAATTATTTCCATATTTCTCTTAAAATGCAAAGTCATCACTGTAATGTTCAAAGAATTTTTTTAAGTCAATTTTTTGTAATATATGCTAACCAGTCAATTACTGGGATTCCCTCCCTATCAAAATGTTATCTGAAGACTTTTACCTTTTAATAGATAAACAATATGTGTCAATTTGACACAGTCTTATGAAAATGCTACTCGATGAGTTTTACTGGATTTGATTATCAACTTGACCTCAGCATAGTGTGAATAAACCCCAGAAGTGTGAGGTGTGAGGGACGATACATACACTCTGCTCCATCAGCACTGCGTCCAGACATCTGTGTACAGTACTGCCAACGATCTCGTCCAGTAACACCTGCACCAAACTGTAACAGACAGACAGCTTGTTTATTCTGTTTTAATCAGTAAGAAACATGATTCTTTCAATGTGATAAGTATAATATTTTTCATCTATAGTTAAAAATCATGGAGCCAGACTTGGTGCACAAATCAAAATGTAGGAGTTTAACACAAAACACTGTTTTAGTAAAATAAAAGTAAATCAAAGTTATCCATTGAATTCCATAATACATATATATATTCACATGTTTGACAGAATATTTCAATCTTTTTATTTGTGCTTTACACTCATAAAAAATGGTATTTACAAGCCTGAGTTGTTAAATGTATTTGTTATTCAAAGGACAACCATGTAATATCCTCTTTATATTTATTAAACGTTCCCTATAAGTTATACCTATGATTTACAGTAAAGTAGTACTCATTACAAAACTTGTATTCTCTTATTAAATCAGAATTATAGAAGTAATCATTTTGGATCTATCAAATGTGTCGCAAATAAATCGGCAAGCAATTGCTATCTTAGTGTGGAGCTCTTGAAAGAGAAAACATACTACATTAACATACACTGTAAGAGCTATAACCAGCTAGTAATGGAGGATCTTAATTGTAAAGGGAAAATAATGACTTACTTTTCATCAGACACAAATCTCCAGAGGTAAAGCTGGAGATAGTTAGTATCCACTTGTATCTGCTGTAACCCATAGCGACCAAATGTTCGGAGCCGAACACACTCCATGAATGTCTGTCAGAAAACAAATCAAAGAGAATAGAGGTAAAGATTTCAACTAGTCTTTTCATACAACTACGTGATAAAATGTAAAAAGTTTAAAAATTGATCATCATGATGATGTCGAGGAGAAACACTACTAAATCGCTATTATGTTTAATGTCATGGGCAAACCCATGTGAAAATAAGTTTTGAGTAATTTGTAAACAAATGTTTAACCGTGCTTCCATACCTTGAGACTGATCTTCACAATACCAGTCAGGACAGACACCTTGGAGAATTCCACTGTGCTGAAGATTTCAATCTTCTCTGAGAACAGCTTCTGGATGTTGCTCATGAGACTGTTATCAATACTGGAAGAGACAGAGACTTTGTTAAATCTGATCATTAAAACAATTAAACCCTTGTTATATATACATCCAAGGCCATTTTCGTGTAAACGGTCAAACCGGTCGGACCATAGTTGTTTATTTTAAAAAAAAAGTCGGACCTAGTAATGGGATGCTGCTTTCAGGCGAGCCTTGACAAAGCCTTGGAAGGCCTGAATAAACATTATACCCAAAATTGTTACATTTATAAATGGTCAAACCGGTTGTTCTGCATAAACTAACAGGCCCATAGTATTTAAGCAGGCTTTAAACTGCCAAATGTATCTATTAGCCTGGACACTCTACATAGATACATGAGGTGTGGGGGCTGTACATATATACATGAGGTGTGGGGGCTGTACATAGATACATGGGGTGTGGGGGCTGTACATAGATACATGAGATGGGGGGGCTGTACATAGATACATGAGGTGCGGGGGCTGTACATAGATACATGAGGGGTGGGGGCTGTACATATATACATGAGGTGTGGGGGCTGTACATAGATACACGAGATGTGGGGGCTGTACATAGATACATGAGGGGTGGGGGCTGTACATATATACATGAGGTGGGGGGGCTGTACATAGATACATGAGGTGTTGGGGCTGTACATATATACATGAGATGTGGGGGCTGTACATAGATACATGAGGTGCGGGGGCTGTACATAGATACATGAAGTGACATATATACATGAGGTGGGGGGGCTTGTTGGGGCTGTACATATATACATGAAGTGTGGGGGCTGTACATAGATACATGAGGTGGGGGGGCTGTACATAGATACATGAGGTGTGGGGGCTGTACATAGATACATGAGGTTTGGGGGCTGTACAACTATTACCTGGGGGCATAGTTCCACTGGCCAGGTTTCTTGTTTTGTGACACACTGTAGCTGTGGGGATGTGTACGACGACTTGAGTCACTACTCCGCTCCTTACGACAGCCCTCCTCATATAACTGTCCCACCTGCATGTCAATAGCTGTGATATCCTCAATGACACGCTTCATCACAGCACGTACATTCCGCGGCTCAATAGTATTCAGCCAATCTCTCGTCTCCACACTCTTTCTCAGCATCTGGAAAAAATAACAGATATCAGTTATTGGTCATTTAAAAAAACGCACCTGTAGCCCATTTTTAAATTCTAAACTGTTATTTCAAATTAAAATATGTACAATTGACATGTGGAAATTATTTTTAGAAATGCATCTTCCAAAAATAATTCAATTCAATCGACTTGCTATATTTTTGCATTTTCCTTTTTACATACATCTGTCATTTTTTAAATTAATTCAAAATACATTTTTCATTTTAATATCAAAATTGATACATTTGTTTTACTTATAAAGTCAGATTTAAATATTTGACATTGAATTTTGATACTTTGCAGATTACCCATTATTTCATACCGTTACATATATCAGATTGAAAATGTTTCCATGTAAGATGTCACTAACCTGTGATATGGAGAGTCCCTGGACCTTGACGTAATGGTTGAGTAAGCGTTGGGCTGTATTCTTGGCCTTGGTACAGAGGTCAGAAACTGGGGTCAGAGAATGGCTCAAGTTTTCTTCAAGCAGGAACTGTTCTTCGGTCAGAGTCAACTACAGAATATGATACAGTAAAATCAAATTATTTTAACGAATCTTACAGAACAAAGACATAACTTGAAGCATGAATGGTCAACAGGCCTGTTCCCAGTGTAAAACTTATTAAACTGTACAAATATTTCATAATTGTTGTCAGTAAGAGTTCTTATTAAAGTAAAAAAAAAAAAAGCATAACAAAGGTACGTATATATCAGTATTGAACAGAATTAAATGTACTGTACAACTCAGGTATATACATTTATTTTGACAGTAACAACAGATCTAATATTGATTAAATTTTGAACATGGCCGAGGAAGTTTCTGTATCAATCATCTGAAATTAAATTAAAATGTGTTACTTCTAACTTTCTTAAAAGTTCCTATGTCTGTTTGAGATGCTACCTTGAAGACCTCCATATTTAACTAGATAAAAAGATTAACTTTAATAGTAAAAATTTAAATCAATTTGACGTACCAGGTAAGATATGGTGGAACCTTCAAAGTCGAGACACAACCGTGACAGTATGAGAAGTAAAGCTGGTGGCACGGATCCCCGGTCACCTGTACCTTCACAGAACTCCTGCAACAAATATCACAGATATATACAAACACATTCACAGTACTATATAACTTTGTTGTTGCAAATGTGGATATCGTAAATGTCCTGATTTAGTGTTATTTGTCCAATGTCAGATTAATTCTTTATATTTCAACTGGGATATCCATATGCATCATATTTCCAGATCATAAAGGCAACACAAGTGATACAAACCCCTGCACATTCACAAATTGTGACATATGTAAGAGGAAATGAAGTCGCTAGATCGATGACAAAGTTTTTTCTAAAATTAGTAACAGTGACCTTGACCTACAACGTAGAACTCCAAAACGACAATTTGTTCAAGGCATTGCCATGCCAAACACTTGTATGAAGTTTAATGAAATTACGTTAAGGAATGAAGTCACTAGAGCGATGACAAAGAGTGTAACATACGTACGGACAGAATCCTATATCCGATACTGTCATATTTATTTAGAAATTGATTCCAAAAGCAAGAAAACAGTTTCGTTTGACAGGAGTAATTTTGGAGACAATTACCAACTTATCTACCAATAATCACTCGTGGGTTATAAAGTAACTTTAATTCTACCATATCCCATGATGTCTTATCAGACATTTAGTGTTTCCATAAACAAGCCACACTCAGAGCAGTAGCCCATACTATTTCCTCCCTTATCTTATATCCATATTTGCCTATTTTAATTCAAGTGGATATGTTCTATGAATTGAATCATTTCAAGCAGCATGAATTCATACCCCTAAAGGCACAGCTTGGAATATTATAATTGGTCCAGTATTACACTATAACATTAACCTTGCTGCCTATAAATCCAGTCCCCTATAAATATGCCCCCCCCCCCCCTAAATAAGCCTGGCATCCTGTAAATCCGGCTGAGCTACTAGTTACTAGTATGAATCTGGCCGGGCTTTCAACCTTCCTGGGCTATAAACCCAGCCCCCTAAAAATCTGGCCCCTTTAAACCTTACCTCTCATAAAACCAGCCTCATATAAAAGGCTTCTGACCGATCCCCTAGCGTTTGTCTGCTGGATAACGAAATTACTTGGTAGTGAAGCGGACATAAAACCACTCGAACAAACAAACAAACAATCCCCTAGGTTCAGTGGTCTAAAACAAACTTTAAATACCAATACACTACTCACCTCGCACACAGAGTTGATGTGGTTTAGGAATCCAACAATTAGTCCCTCCCTCACATCTTGGGTACAGAATGGACCTCGGAAATATGGCTTCATCGCGAAAGTGATGTCTGATGCTGTGAAAGCCTGGATAATTACAATAATATCAATTTGTTTAGTTAAGTAGCATTTCAACAATTTGACAATGTTTAACATGTATGAAACTTTTAACATGTTCTACCTGTTATTAAATAACTCATCATGATTAACGGCAGGGTGTTTTTGTCTACTGTCAATCAACTACAGACTCTGATATAATTAACTTTTGTGTTTTACAAGACGTGTAGATCATTTATCCTTCTTTGGTTCAGACAGACTTAAAGGAAGAATTGATATATATTGTGTACATTTTATTGTTCAAGAAGTGCATATGAATTCCTACAAGTAAATCATAGCAGGAAATGAGAATTCACCAAAATTAAGTGATATATTCAAATTATACAGCTCAGAATATCTTGCCACATGTGAACAGAACTTCAGGAGGCAACAACTAACTCCTGCTTAACAAATCTGCAATTAGGGAGTTGATTCCACACTTCTCAATACATAGGTGTTCAAATGCTGGTAAACTAATTATTTACCATCTTTGGTCCAGCTGTTTCAAGCATTGAAAAGAATTTACCAGCACTGTGATGGAAGGATGTTTACCTGGAGGTTCCCGAGGACAGACTTGATTTGCTCCAGTATAGTGGACTGAGTGGAGTGGAGGAGGTCGGAGAGCTGTGCGGAACTGTCCTGTTTACCTACTAATCGGGGTGCCGCGAGGTTCTGTCTGATGTCTGTCAGGCAATCTGTTTCAGACACATGTTTGATTAAAAAATCATTTATATTTTATTTTCATTGGAGATAATATATACAAACATTATGTGCAACAAATATTATCAATAAAGCTGACTTAGACCAAATCAAAATTTGACTTCATTCACAAATCATGTATGTATAAAACATGTTGTAACATTTCAGTCAGAGATTGACAAAGGGACCAGTCAGGCTTGAAACATTGCAACACATTTAATATGTACATTATTTGCAGATAAAGTAACACTTTGATATTACATTTTTTGCAAACTGATGAAACTTGCTGACTTGGACTATAAGAGTTATTACAAATACGTTATTTTGTCAGCACTTTTCTTCTCAAGAGAAACTTTCTAAATTTTGATATACCATTGATATTCTCCTTACCAGCAAAGTTTTGTTTAAGTGTCTGTAGATAATATCCCACCCTGTCCTTGGCAGCCCTGGATACTATCTCTGTACCTGCCCTGAAGCATCAATAGGAATTACTATAAAACAGAAAGTTTCTACAGCACTTTTACCTATAAATGAATCAAAATTTCACTGAAACTGAAATTTTGAGAATACTTCACGAGAAAACGTTTCTGTTCTTTGTTTTTCAACAATGTTGACAAATAAACCATAACCAAACAATTCTGATCCTTTTGATCAACAGCTATGATAATATGAAAGACCCAAAAAGTACCTGGAGAAGTCGGTGTCAGGTAGGAGCTTGTTCATGGCCTGAAGCCTCCGGTGGAATCTGTCCAGGGATCGGACCAGGATTGTGTTGTCTCCAGTCTCCTTCTGAAAGCCATTAATACTAAGTAAGCTTGCTGTTATCTTACTCACTCAATTCCTACCAAATAGACCAGTTTGTTTCGGCTAGATTATAATAATCAAGATAATACAATGTATAAACAACACTGTTTCATACATTCAAGTCACATTATTCAGTTACTATATGACTCTGAAAACTGATTATTCAATGAAAGTAGATACAAAGTTCAACAAAAAAATAGTTTTCAAATGTTCAAAAAAAATGTGAAATTAAAAATAAATAACATCCTTTATTTTGTTTTGTTTAATGCTTTTATACATTGATGTATTTTTGTTCAAGATTTTCATCACACAAAATATTTTGGACATAAATGATCTCACAGACTCTAATTAAATGGCACACTAAGATCATGTATTATTTTTAGGTACAAATGTCTAGTCTCTAAATGCAGCAAATAATTCATAAAACAAACCTCCAGTTGGACCCTCCTTTGTACGAAGTTGAAGTATTTCTCCATCAGTTCATTGACAAAATGTACTAATTTCTTCAATGCCATGGCATCTGTATTATCACTGAAAACAAGAAAAATTCATGAGTTATTTAAACACACTTCACACTCTAGATATTGTGCAAAATGAAGGTTCTTTTCATTGTTATTCTATAACATATGTTGTTGGTGTCAAATTATCACATTTTGTTTGGGGGGATAGGGGGAAAGAAACTGATTCAGGAACAATCTTTACAATCCAGACTTGTTATTAAGCCACCACTAATAGTGTTATCCAATTACTCAGCCACCACTAATCAGGCTGCCCCAGTATCCAGCCACCACTAATCAGGCTGCCTCACTATACAGCCACCACTAATCAGGCTGCCCCACTATACAGCCATCACTAATCAGGCTGTCCCACTATCCAGCCACCACTAATCAGCTGGCTGCCCCATTATCCAGCCACCACTAATAAGCTGGCTGCCCCATTATCCTGCAAACACTTATCTGGCTGCCCCACTATACAGCCACCACTAATCAGCTGGCTGCCCCACTATACAGCCACCACTAATCTGGCCGCCCATTATCCAGCCACCACTTATCAGGCTGCCCCACTATACAGCCACCACTTATCAGGCTGCCCGACTATACAGCCACCACTAATCAGGCTGCCCCATTATACAGCCCCCACTAATCTGGCCGCCCCTTATCCCGCCACCACTAATCAGCTGGCTGTCCCACTATACAGTCACCACTAAGCAGGCTGCCCCACTATACACTCACCACTAATCAGGCTGCCCAACTATACAGCCACCACTAATAAGGCTTCCCCACTATAAAGTCACCACTAATCAGGCTCCCCCTCTCTACAGTCACCACTTATCAGGCTGCCCCCCTATGCACCCCCCACTTATCAGGCTGCCCCCCTATGCACCCCCCACTTATCAGGCTGCCCCACTATTCAGTCACCACTAATCAGGCTCCCCCTCTCTACAGTCACCACTTATCAGGCTGCCCCCCTAGTCAGCCCCCACCACCAATCAGCCTGCCCCACTCTCCAGCCACCACTTATCAGGCTGCCCCCCTATGCACCCCCCACTTATCAGGCTGCCCCCCTATGCACCCCCCACTTATCAGGCTGCCCCCCTATGCACCCCCCACTTATCAGGCTGCCCCCCTATGCACCCCCCACTTATCAGGCTGCCCCCCTATGCACCCCCCACTTATCAGGCTGCCCCCCTATGCACCCCCCACTTATCAGGCTGCCCCCCTAGTCAGCCCCCACCACTAATCAGCCTGCCCCACTATACAGCCACCCCTTATCAGGCTGCCCCACTATTCAGCCCCCCCCACTAATCAGGCCGCCCCACTATACAGCCACCGCTAATCAGGCTGCCCCACTCTCCAGTCACCACTTATCAGGCTGCCCCCCTATTAACCCCCCACCACTAATCAGCCTGCCCCACTATACAGCCACCACTAACCAGGCTGCCCCCCTATCCAGCCCCCACTAATCAGGCTCCCCCACTATCCAGTCTCCACTAATCAGGCTGCCCCCCTATACAACCACCACCACTAATCAGGCGGCCCCACTATACAGCCACCGCTAATCAGGCTGCCCCACTCTCCAGTCACCACTTATCAGGCTGCCCCCCTATACAGCCCCCACCACTAATCGGGCTGCCCCACTATCCAGCCACCACTAGTCTGGCCGCCCCTTATCCAGCCCCCACTAATCAGGCTCCCCCACTATCCAGCCCCCCCTAATCTGGCCGCCCCTTACCCAGCCGCCACTAATCAGCTGGCTGCCCCATTATCCTGCAACCACTAATCAGGCTGCCCCCCTATACAGTCACCACTAATGAGGCTGCCCCACTATCCAGCCACCACTAGTCTGGCCGCCCCTTATCCAGACACCACTAATCAGCTGGCTTCCCCACTATACAGTCACCAATAATCAGGCTTCCCCACTATACAGTCACAACTAATCAGGCTGCCCCACAATACAGTCACCACTAATCATGCTGCCCCACTATACAGTCACAACTAATCAGGCTGCCCCACTCTCCAGTCACCACTTATCAGGCTGCCCCACTATTCAGCCACCGCCAATAATCAGGCTGCCCCACTATCCAGCCACCACTAATCTGGCCGCCCCTTATCCAGCCACCACTAATCAGCTGGCTGCCCCACTATACAGTCACCACTAATCAGGCTGCCCCACTATCCAGCCACCACTTATCAGGCTGCCCCACTATACAGCCCCCACTAATCAGGCTGCCCCACTAACCAGCCACCACTAATCTGGCCGCCCCTTATCCAGACACCACTAATCAGGCTGCCCCCCTATACAGTCACCACTAACCAGGCTGCCCCCCTATCCAGCCACCACTTATCAGGCGGACCCACTATCCAGCCACCACTAGTCTGGCCGCCCCTTATCCAGCCCCCACTAATCAGGCTCCCCCACTATCCAGCCACCACCAATCAGGCTCCCCCACTATACAGACACCACTAATCAGGCTGCCCCCCTCTACAGTCACCACTTATCAGGCTGACCCACTATCCCGCCACCACTCATCAGGCCGACCCCCTATCCCGCCACCACTAATCAGGCTGTCCCACTACACAGTCACCACTAATCAGGCTCCCCCACTATCCAGCCCCCACTAATCTGGCCCCCCCTTACCCAGCCGCCACTAATCAGCTGGCTGCCCCCCTATACAGTCACCACTAACCAGGCTGCCCCCCTATCCAGCCACCACTAATCAGGCCGCCCCACTATACAGCCACCACTCATCAGGCTTCCCCACTATACAGCCACCACTCATCAGGCTTCCCCACTATACAGCCACCACTCATCAGGCTTCCCCACTATACAGTCCCCACTAATCAGGCTGCCCCACTACACAGCCACCACTAATCAGGCTTCCCCACTATCCAGTCACCACTAATCAGGCTGACACTATACAGTCACCACTAATAAGGCTGCCCCACTATCCAGCCCCCACTAATCAGGCTCCCCCACTACCCAGCCACCACTAATCTGGCCGCCCCTCATCCAGCCACCACTAATCAGGCTGACCGACTATACAGTCACCACTAATCAGGCTGCCCGACTATACAGCCCCCACTAATCAGGCTGCCCGACTATCCAGCCACCACTAATCAGGCCGCCCCACTATACAGCCACCACTCATCAGGCTTCCCCACTATACAGTCCCCACTAATCAGGCTGCCCCACTAACCAGCCACCACTAATCTGGCCGCCCCTCATCCAGCCACCACTAATCAGGCTGCCCCACTATCCAGCCACCACTTATCAGGCTGACCCACTATCCAGCCACCACTAATCAGGCTGTCCCACTATACAGTCACCACTAATCAGGCTGACCCACTATCCAGCCACCATTAATCAGGCTTCCCCACTCTACACCCACCATTAATCAGGCTTCCCCACTCTACACCCACCACTAATCAGCTTTAATCCTGATCAAATTGCCTCTAGCCAAAGATATCAACAACTGTCAACTGAAGATTTTTTTTCAAAGTAGAGGAAATAACAAGGTCACTGAACTTTAGATGGTACAACTTACTCCTCTTGGTGCTTGTTGAGGAATGTGTCGTTGTAGAATGCTATCACCAGGCAGATGTTACTGAGGAAACCATTACAGCCAGAGTCGACAAACTCCAGCACATCCTAAAATAGAAAGTGAGAGGTTAGTGTGAACAAATACCCGGTAGTGTTAAGAAATATAAATATATGTTCAAATTCTGCTGGCCATCCTTGCATAATAATATACAAAATAATATACAACATTTGTATAGCGCCCTATATAATTGGCAAAATTAGTCTACAGCGCTTTATAGCATATGAATAGTAGTATTCCTACAGTGACAGTTATAGATATAGTAGATACAAAAAGCATACAAATCAGCATTTTACACCAGGTAAAAATATATTAATTGCCACATGCATATAAACTTATACATGTAGATATATAGGGTGATGTGTACATGACGTCTGTGTAAAAGAACATAAAATGCAGATGAGAAAAGGTGTGTCGTTATATCGTTCTTGAATTTAGCCAAAGGTTTTCACTTCCTGGTAGCAGATAGTAAAAATGATGACTGAAAATAATGTGAAGACTGAACATTATTGCATAAGAGATGATGATGTCATATACACATGCTGTACTTTGTTGCTGACCAGACACAGGTAGATCACTGACCATAACGGACACATACCATAGGTGTGGTACCTAAATAAGCCTGAGCTGGACTCTCGCCCTCCATTTTTATCTCCTCCCCGCGTTGTAAACAAATCTGACGATCAAGCACCTTCAAATCCTCCTCATCTATCTTCTGGCGAGCACTGTTAAAACCAAGTCAAATAATGCTTCTTAGTTAGATTTACCTTTGAACAGTGAAATGAGTAGGTTACAGAAACTGGTAAGGATTACAAAGTTTCTCTTTTGATTTCTTGAGGTTAAGACTGAAAAAAGTATGTGTAGTCTTCTAATTAGGTGACTTAATGGATTAATGCTGAGTGCACATATTTTTTTTCTTTTCAAAAGTAACTCAAGAAGTTAAGTAGAGTGTAACCTGGTATAACTCTCTGGACTGATGTTCTTTGAGGTAAACCCCTGTTATAACTCTCTGGACTGATGTTCTTTGAGGTAAACCCCTGTTATACCTCTCTGGACTGATGTTCTTTGAGGTAAACCCCTGTTTTAACTCTCTGGACTGATGTTCTTTGAGGTAAACCCCTGGTATAACTCTCTGGACTGATGTTCTTTGAGGTAAACCCCTGTTATAACTCTCTGGACTGATGTTCTTTTAGGTAAACCCCTATTATAACTCTCTGGACTGATATTCTATGAGGTAAACCCCTGTTTTAACTCTCTGGACTGATTTTCTTTGAGGTAAACCCCTGTTATAACTCTCTGGACTGATGTTCTTTGGGGTAAACCCCTTTTATAACTCTCTGGACTGATGTTCTTTGGGGTAAACCCCTGTTAAAACTCTCTGGACTGATGTTCTTTGAGGTAAACCCCTGTTATAACTCTCTGGACTGATGTTCTTTGAGGTAAACCCCTGGTATAACTCTCTGGACTGATGTTCTATGAAGTAAACCCCTGTTATTGTTACAACATACGGTTTCTGTAATGCCAAAACATGCTCTGTGGACCAGAAAGGTGGTTTAGCTAAAGTGGTACCAAAACAGTAAAACAAAACTGATATTTTTTTAGGTATGTTTCCATTTATGAGACTATCAAAGTTACGGTTCACAAAACTGTGAGCGCTCCAAGCAAGAACCTGCATTAAGCCATCATTTAACAACTGGTAGGTCCAACCATATATCATTATGTTTCTTTCTAAACTGATTCTGTCTACCGGTAATCCAAGAATGTGTACATTCCAAAGAAAAACTTTGTGTGTTTGGTTTGGTCAGACTTCATTTAACAGATTCATGCAATTTAAATGATCCTGTAACCACACATTGGGACTTACTGAGAGAGAAACTCCTCACACAGGACTTCTGCAGGCTCGCCCAGTTGTAGCAGCAGATCTACACACTCAGCCAATTGTTTGGGGGTTGACTAAAATAAACAATGCAACTTTGCAAACAAACAAAAAACCCAACAGTGTTATGGATGACTGTAGAGAGTCTCACTACTTTTCTGGTGTATAAAGGCCTTGAAATGTTAAAATGGTGTTATTTCATTTATAGTCATACAAAAGCAATTGTAGGTTGCAAGGCTTTTACAAGAGTTAAATCTTTTTACAATTATGTGTATTCCCAATAATATTTGAGAAAAATATAAGAATAATGAATATCATGACCAGTAGTGCTGTGGAAAAACTTCCTGCTTTAGTTTCCAGAGGTTTGAGAATTGAATCCATGAAATGGAGGTGTTTTTGTGAAAGAAAGAAAACTGAAAAAAAAATACACTTCTTCAAGTTTGGTCATCAGATAATTGCAAAAAATTATGACAGCAAGTTATTTTTGGGGAAGTTTTATGAAGAACGTGAGCTTCATACAGCAAACTTGCATATAACTAAAACCAGACTAGGAAACATTTTGGAGATATCTGACTACTGGGTTTGACTATAGAGTAACAGGAAAAGAAGGCTCGGCAAAACCAAGATTTGAACCCCGGACCTCTGAACTCTATACAGATGCCCTAACCAATTAAGCTACAAAGTGGTAGGTGATGGACCCAGTCAATTTCTGCGGCATTTGAAAGGAAAACGGTCTTTGAAGCAAATTATGTGTTTCATGTATAAGACATCAAGGTTGTACTGCATCATGCTGAGGACATATACAGTCAGACAGCAGACAGTTACCTCCTTGTTCTTGAACTGTTGACGGAGAAGCTGACAGAGCTCCTGTATGATCTTGTTACAGTCCTCACTGATTCCCTTGAAACTTGGCATGTGTTGATACTGGTGTAGAATTCGTTTGGCCTTACTGTAGTACCTACAAAACGAAGTACACGTTACTCTGTACCTGTAGTGCTTACAATACACAAGTCAGTATATGACAGTATAACAGTTGTACCTTAAAGGAACTTACAGGAACATAAACTTACACTTTAAAGGGATAATTATAGATAGGTACAACCTTACTGTAATTACTTAAAAGACACTGGTCATTTTAGGGAGGTACACTCATTCTGTAGTATTTGTATTTATACAGGGTCCAACATCACTGTATTACTTGCAATAAGTTTTAGAGAGGTAAAACCTCTCTGTAGTACCTTCAATACTCAGGGGTAACATTACATTGACCTGATATTTGACCATTTGATGATAAACCTGTTGATGCATATTATATAAAACACAATTAAAGGGATCAACCACTGGTTACACTATGCAGACACGTAGGCATCATTCTATTTTTACTCGTGATATGTGCTTGCTCATGTATGAAGTCCATCCCTCTCTTAAGAGCTTTTACAACTTCTTGGGTTTAGGGACATACATGTATGTTAACCCAGTATCCTCTCTACCCAATGTCTTAGGAAAAGGCCTGTGGTCATTAGATGTAAAACTTTGTGTTATACCTTAAAAGTTTAGTGTAAGGAGTATGTATTCAATATACAGAACCTCGTCCAACTCACCTGACTGCCTGACTGTAGGCCTGCATTTCTATGCATTTTTTTAGTCTGGCAGGTAACTCAAACAGGAACTGAAGTTTTTTCAGAAGGGAATGTACACCGGCTAGTTTAGTGATCTGTTGCCGTCGGTCCTGGAGTGTGCAGCTGATGTTAGCACTGAACTCAGTAATGGAAGACATGTTAGTCGCTAAATGGTCCATCTCATCTTCCATCTTCCGAAAATCATTTTTCATCTATTAAACAAGAAAAAATATATTGTTAATTGATATTGATGTTATTCTATAAGTAATTAAGCATAAAGTGAATAGATATAATAAAAAAAAAAACTGTTTGTTAAACACTAAATTCTTTTTTAAGTTATCAGAATTTGCAAAGCTTTCTGATGGTTATTGTGGTTAGAAATCTTTTTCATCTTATCAATGGTAGTTGATTTTTTCAAACTGAAAGAACTGGTTTATTTGAATAAACCAAGTGCCTTCTTACAATTTAAACACTAATCATCATGACAATCAGATTAACATGATACATGATAACCAGTCACCCTGGGTTCAGGGATCTTTATCTTCCATAATGTTCATAAATATAAAGTCAGAAAAGTCAAAATTTGGGTTTCCAATTGGGAACAATTTCTTTATTGATTCATGACATGGAAGGTGTTAGTGCAAAGTATTGTTATACTTTGATAATTACAGCATTGGACCAATAGGAAACAAGAAACATTTACCAACTGCTTGCATGAATTCGTGTATCCAATGCTTCAGGAGTGAGAAAGCTACAGTGGTTATGGGGAAATGAACATTAAACATTGTTTGCATATTCTATTTTTGAATGGGCTTTATATTGAACACAAAAATGAAAACAAAATTCTGGTACCTTTCTTATTGTATCTGTTGCACTTATAAATTTGTTGTAGTTTTCATAAACGAGAGTCTGCATGTCACTGTCAAGCGCTTTTATCTGTGTCAAGGTCTTCGATTCCTCATCCATCAATTCTGTCAGCGTCTTTTCTTTGATGAGCCGTGCCAGGTAGGTATCAGCTTTGAAATGTGCGCCATTAATGTCACACGGGTCAAGAGAGGCTCCTCCGTCTTGGTCCTCTTCAATACCATAGTACATCTTGAGCATACCATGGCGTTTAGCCTTGTTACCTTGTTGCTGATCTATATTCAAAAAGAATAATTTCAATTATCTATCACCTAAACAATCCTCTAAGTTTTGTTTTCTAAATTTATTTGGAAACATGTGTATTTTCAAGCATATCGATAAAAGATCATGCAACCCAAAAGCATGCACGCAATGACAATTCACGTAAGAAGATGCCAACTGAAGCATTTTCTCTGACGCCGCCCATATTATAAATGATATTGTCCACGTCCCTGCAACACTGTCTGAACTCAGTACAGTAACTGTGTGATAAACTGTTACTAAAGAGAGTGGGCGTGGTTAGTGACAGTTTTTATACAAATTAAAGCAGTAAATTTACAAAAATTACCAACAAAAGGCGTTATATTACTTGATGAACGTAGAATAAGACTATCTGTATCTTAGAGAGGAAGATTTATCGATTTTGTGTGGATGTGTCAGAAGTTAGTTTACCTTCGTCAGCCATTTTAGAGTTCCTAATAAATTACTCGATCATTTGGTTCCGGAAATAAACATATTCGTGAAATGAACTATACAGAGAAATAAATAAATGATCATATTTTACAAATTCCATAAAAAGTATGACATTGAAAAAGTACAACGGTTTATTAATAATTGTATTTAACTATGATTTATAATAATTTTGTTGTTTATAATATCCGGAAAATTGTATGTTTTGTGTACTATCTCGTTATATTTTTCAAGAACGCAAGCGACAGAAGATGATGCAGAGGATGAATATGTAATAAGAATGTGAATTTTGCAGGATTTATAGGTTTTCAGTGAATGTAAGTCAGTTTAACGTTGATTTTGTTAGCAAAGTTAATCAATTACATCAGCTGTTTGCCGTGTTTTTCACATTTATACCAGAATTTCCTGTAGACTATCGATATATATATTGATGTAAGGACAGAAAAGGTGTGAAACTTTGCCATAAATTTGCCAGCTTTAATAGTACTGTACTGCAGTATTCTTCAAGCAGAGTTTTATATTAATGCACACGTAAACAAACTATTAGCTAGCTACATTAATGTTATTTGTTAATGTATTTGAGGTGAGTCAATTGCAACCTGTCATGTGTATATAGATCGAGTCTGCAATTGTTGACAAAGTGACAAAAAATAAACACAAAATGACACTCATCATTATGTGGCAGGTTTTAATTGTACATAAGATTAAACACACTATTCTCTTTCCTTTTTATAAATGGTGTCCATGGCCTTCCCTGTGGTGACAGGGAGCTAGAACCTTGGTTGTGGTGTTCGAGTGCGAACACATTTTAAAAGGGGGGTCCAGTAGTATGGCAAATTTTTATTGTCCATATACATGTATAGGATTAAGGTTGCCTGTTCTAGCTTCGAGCTAGAGGGAATTTCCCTTTAGCTCAGTGGTAGAGCGTCCGACTAGGAACCTAGGGATCGTGGGTTTGATTCCCAGTGGAAGCACACTATTCTCTTTCCTGTTACAATTAAAATGGGATCCAATTTATTGTAGAGTTAATAATGAATAAGCTGATATGTTTCTATAGAATAAAAAAAAAACATATTCTTGTCACAGTGCACAGACAGGCTATTTAGATAAATTGTCCTTTTTTCTGTCGTAATTATAAGAATAGCTGTTTCATGTTTCATATATATATATTGAAGGAAGATATGTCCACATACTAAGATGAAAATTGTTAGCCTTTTTGCTAATTGCAACCTTTTTTTTTACAGAATTTTAGTGTGGTACATAATACAAACTTTAATTTTTTTTCCATAGAAGGATTAAAAAAAAAGAGTGCTTTTTTAGTTATAAGCCCGTCTTCATTCCTGTCAACATCACCCCAGGTGACAGTTTTAGCCCCCCGCCATTTCCTGTCATAATGACTTGTCCAGTTTCATGCTGCAAACCATTTGGACTGTCAAGACTTCTGCTGACTCATGAATAGCTTTTCGGGCAACACTTATTGGCTTCATGAGGGGGAAGATTGCTGGTAACTCAGAGAAGTCATCACCATCATGAAGAAGAGGAAACATCCCTATTCATTATCCACACAGCTTACTGCTAGATTAAGTGGACCATGCCAGATATTCAGGACTCAACATATCAAAAACACTGTCATAGAACCAACATACTAACATATTATTATATTAGGTAGAAGGCTAGCTCAACGTTTGCATTGTTACATAAAGATAATCCAGTTTTCAAGGAAATGGCTGAGAAGAAAGCCTTAAGTACACATGTTAGGCCATCCGTGAATATGCAGCAACAGTTTGCACCACACCAAGTGTAACATCAATGTAATGTAGTCAGTGCCATAAAGAACAGCACATTTTGTTCTGCACCGTCAAATAAGCAGTCTCTTAACTATGCATCATCAATTTGAAATAGCACATTTTAAGCAAGACTACAGCAAGCAAAAACCATCATGCTACATCAAATCTTCTACGCCCTCATCAAAATCCCTTCAACAATTTTCCTCATCCCTAGCTACTGGAACAGCTACAAGAGAACATAAACATGAACTAAAGTCCTCACTACCCAAGCATTCCCGCATGCCTTTGCCCCAGTGCCATATTTTTTCTGGATTATACTTTCACAGGCATTGTTCCTGACTGAAGAGTTCAAGCCAAGACACTTCATTGCATTAACACTACAGCCTTGTGTTTTACTGATCATGAAGTATTCATTTTATTTTGTTTTATTTTGGAAAGTGCTAGTTTTCATAGTAAATATTGAACATTTTCACTAGCCTCAACATAAAATCTGCTAATCCTGGTGTCGGGCTAGTGGACTTATACACCCTTTCATTTCTATCAGTACACGAAATTTAACCTCTGTAATCTATATGTATTGTCTATTCTGAACAAAAATAATAACACATTTTGTAATATGATTGGACAGGTATCACACGTACGGTGAGGTATTTATAGATATTTATACATTTGGTGGTAATGATCATCACATCTAACATTTTTGAGAATTTTGAAAAAAATAGCTTTGAATTGTGTTTGTAGAAACAAACCTAAAATATGGCTGACGGCAAACAGCTGAAGATTGGGACGCGTGTGGAGGTCATAGGTAAAGGAGTCATTGGGGCAGTGGCCTATATTGGAACAACCCTCTTCTCCAGTGGTAAGTGTCACCTAATAATCACTGTACACGATTAACCAGGCAATTTCTTCAATATAGTTCTTTAATTTGTTCCTGCTAGCAAGAAAATCACTATAGATAGGTGGTCCTAAACTTCTACCTACCATATGTATGATTGCATTCAAGACAGATTAAAATATTTAGTCTGCAGGATCTCATTGCATCATAATGATGTGGAAACTTAACTAGTTGTAAAATTGGGTGTTTTCTTCCTTTCGTAAGTGGACATTGTACTTGAGGAAACCAAAATCAAGGTAATCAGTGACTCTTTGCACTGTTTCCCGTTTTATGCTGTTTGATTGTGTAGGACTTGCTGTATTGATGACGCGACGCGTTAAGATTTTACTGAATAAACAAATAAATGACCATGTTGACCAATGAAGAATCTCTGGTATGGAATTTGGTCATTTACATTATAAATGTTATGGGCCTCCTCGTTTGCAGATAGGTGGAGCATTAAAGGTGAAAATGGGTAAATCTAAAACTAGTTGGTTTAATGTATCCATTCCGACTGACACTTTGTACTGTTTTGTCCTCAATTTTAGGTAAATGGATAGGTGTGATCCTTGATGATGCCAAGGGGAAAAACAATGGAGTGGTGCAGGGCAAAACTTACTTCACCTGTGATGACAATCACGGAATCTTTGTTCGTCAGTCGCAGGTAGGATATGTTAATGACATCTACCTCAAGTGTTTTATTCCGTCTTTGCGTATTGCAGAGTTATCTTCTCTTGGGAGCAGATATTGATTGTTACGTCATTGGTTTGTGTGAGAAAATTACGTTGTTTTCTCAAAACTTGATGACGTTACTCTCACAAACAAGTGACATAACAATCAACACCTGCTCCCAAGAGAAGATAACTCTGCAATACCCAAAGACGGAACATATGAGTTTAAAATATTCATTTGAAACTAGCTCACTGTTAATAACTTTTTTTTTTTTATACAGATGTTTTTAAAACAATTCCTTTCCACCCAATTCAATTCCTATAGGATTTATTTAAATGGAATACATCTTGTATATGTGTAGATTGTAGCACTGGATAGCAAGGAGCCTAGCCCCGTCGCAGCACCTGAACCTGCGACACCTGTTCCTGCCACACCAAAACCAGCCTCAGGAATCCCCGGTCCTAGGACGGTCAAGCGGTCAGGTCTCCGCCCACCAAGCTATGTGGGTAAAAGTAAGTATATGCAGGGATAGAGCATTATGAAGCTACAGAATCATAGATTATCAAATTTTCTACAAGTGCTATCTGAACATTATAGAATTTCTTAAATTAGCTGTGAAGTGTGATAAAAAAAACTCCAAAGAAACACAGATTGAGATAAAATTGTCATTGCAGAAAATTTTCATACAAAAGTTTAACAATGTCATTTGTTTGTAATTCTTTTATTTTTCTGTTTAACATTTTCACCACTATGTAACTTTAGTAAACTCTACCATGCTTTGATCAAGATGAGTCCATTATGGTCCACAGTGGTGAAAGGATTAATACGTTTGTATCCCAAGTTTATTCTCAGGAGGACTGTCAGGAATACCTAAGTCATTGAAATTGTTGATATATGTTGAAAGACATATTTTCAAATTGCTTTCAGAAGTGTCTTACTTTGCTTTATTGAAGCTTATCATAGGTCCCATTGATATGTTAATGTTTTGTGTGTATATGTAACGTAGTCGGATTTTAGGGGAGGGTCTTGGCGTAATAACAACCGACACAGGATTCTCTCTTCATATATGTGTTAAATGATGGACACGGAAAATATAGACAAAAGTCCCTACAACAAATAAATAGCTATATTCAATACACAGTACCGAAACCAACGCGCCCAACTATACAACAATAGCGTGTACTTTAAAATAACTCTACGAATACATTTACATAGATTCGATCACATATACAGATTCTATTATTGTTTATCCACAGTTAAACCTATAAGAAATTCTTAAGGTATTATATTAGCGTGTCCGTCTTGAATGTTCGTGGAAAATGAAACATTTCAGCTTATAAAAAATTCTGGGGAGAACCCTGAGAATATATATAACTGGCAAAGTACTAATAGACCACAGGAAATATCATGATAAACATTATCTACCAATAAGTTAGAATCATCAGTAAAATTAGCGATCGCATCTTAATGTAATAATAACAAATAAATAAATAATAATGTTAAACTTAAATGTGGTGCCCAAGACGTGAATAAATAAATATAGATTAAATCTACATCTTGGAGAAAAATACAACCTCTCTGATAGATGGTCAAAGAAGAACTACCAAATGGCGGCAAAAGTACAAAAGAGAGAAAAGGAAAACGCAACGCGCATGTCCTGTACTGTCCGTCAGTGGTCAAACCTGTTTTATACCTACATACGTCACACGAACACTCTCCGGACACTCACGAACCGCACATACAAAGCAATTTCCTAACACACGGTGTAGGATACGCACAACGCAATAATCGCACAACGAGCACCGTATGCATATTAGACCAACAGACACACACACAAATACGACGTGGGATACGAACAACACAGACATAACACAACGAGCGATAATAAATATTAATCATAAAAACAATTCAAATTAACAGGGTGCCACATATACAACTGTGAGCAGAGGTATATGTCTCTTTAATGTTGGATATTCGTCACAGGTAGTGAAAATCTTGTGGACATGTCAGCCACCCCTAAGAGAGCCCCCAGTGTACCCAGTGACTTGTCCAAGATTGCAGCTACTCCTCTCCAAACACCGGCCAAGGAGAGCAGTATCCCATCTGGATTGTCTAGAATCAGCCGGGGAGCAAGTAAGGAATCCACACCCCCTCCAATAGTACCTACGGAGCTGAAGGAGCTGAAGGCACCCCCCAAAGAGGTGACACCGACATCCAAACCCCCATCCACCAAGACTACAGTGAGTAATGGCATGCATAGAGCTGATACATTAAACTAGAACTGTTTGCATTTCTGTTCTTATTTTGTTGCCTCAAAATCAAATGGCCAGGATAGAAACTTTTGAGATATCTCGGCGTTCAGGATAACCACTTTGGGCAGTGAGGTGCCCTGAATGTCATACAAAAGTGTAACCCATCAGTTCTGTAAATTGAAATTTTCACGGTGTGGAAGTTCTCACATTTTTTCATAGAGTAAAATAATGTGAGAATATCCACATGCAAATATGTATTTATAGATCATCATGATAATAGATTATATAGATTTTAGAACCATCCATTGCTAAAGCCAAAAATGTTGAATCTATTTTAAGTTTAAAGAGTCACAATCCGAACCTATCCACATGCCAGAATTTAGTAGCATTAACATAATGATTTATGATATTAGGGTAACTTTTGTCACAGCCTTTATTTCATTCAATTTGATCGCGTTGTTTCCAGCCGACCACGCCAGCAGATGTTAGCTCTCTAGAAGTTAAAATGACCAACTTGCAGCAGTCGCAGGAGATTGAGGGATTGAATGCCGAAATCAAGGACCTGAATGAAAAACTTGAAACTCTCAAAATAAAACGTGCAGAAGACAAAGGCAAACTGAAGGATTTCGAGAGAGCCAAACTACAAATGCAACAGGTAACAGCAACAACAACAACAGTTGGATTATGGTTAAAAATATTGATGTTGGAAAATGATGTTGATGCTGATTCCTGATGAATTTAGAAGCTGTGTAAGGAACTAGATAACATATTCTAACATTGTCTTGTAACATTTATACCCCGGTAGGTAATTTTTTCATGTTAAAATATTAAGGAAGACATTTAACACTGACTCAAATACTAGTTATAAAGAATAAAAATAACTAATTAAGAAGGATTAGTTCCTTCTGTTAAACAGGATGCAACAAAGAACTATACCGATTAAATTCTGAATAATTAAAGAATGGACGTTTAATGGACGTTTAATGGACGTTTCTTATGTCCATGTTGGAGACTAATAGGTGTTGCTTTTCTAACATGGTGATAAAATGTCTGCTTTCAGTTACAAGAGTACAAGAGTAAAATACAGGAAACTAACAAGGAACTGCAGCAGCAGTTAGCAAATGCTAAAAGGGTAAATACACAGTTCAGGAATTTAACTGTTTGTGAAGCAGGTAGGAAGTTGCTCGAGTTTGTAATTCATAGGGTAAATAAAGTCAATTTGTGAAATATGATGTGATGACTGTTCTTTATAAAAAAAAATGCAAAATCAATAATATTAAATTTTCCTGTAGTGTGAACATACATATTTTAGCACTTTTGGTATTTTAAATATTGCTTTAAATTATTATTGAACTGATGATAAACAATCCACTTCTTGGCAAAATGTGCCCAAATAAATGTTTTTTGTGATAGTTGAAAGTGTGAAACCTCTTTCAAACAAAGTAAATTTCATGGGATGTTTTTGTTTTTGAAAGGAAATATAAATCAGGTTTTAGTTTCACAAAAGACAAATATTTGGTAGAATTTCATCAATGCTAAATAGCCACTCTTTGTAATTTAAATTTGGAATATCATTGCTGGTGTGTAACAGGAGGCACGAGACATTCAGGATGCTTTTGACCAGTACAAGGATGAGATGTCTGACCTAGCTGAGTCCATGGAGCTGGCCACACTTGACAAGGAAATGGCAGAGGAGAAGGTTAGTATCCAACAGGATAAAAGAAAAAAACTTTTTTTCAGGAATTTTGAACACTTGTAAGTAAAAAAGTGGAAGGTATTCAGACCTTCCATAAATAACCTATAGCTAGCTGCTTCCACTTAGGTAATGTTCATAAAGCAGCTTATTGATTTGAACAGTAAGTTTTTAAGTCGAATTATTAATCAGTTGTGCCAGTGGTGTGAAATGGTAAAAAAAACCTGGAAATGCATGACTTTATTTACACTAATGAGCAAATGTTTCAATGATTTAATTGGCTTTTTCTTACATGATGTACACCAGATTTTTATCAGGTAAAATGGAAATTCAAATCGATGTTCACTAATCCTTAAAATCTATGTATTCAGATTACTGGTATGTATTAATGTAGTGTTCTATTTTTGTGACAAACGAGAAATTATGAGAAGTTAAATAATATTGTCAAGGAGTATTTTCAGTTGGAGAGGATATTTTTTACAGTTTTAAATGTGTCTGTCATCTGAGGTAGAATTGCACGGATTGTCAGCCAAGTAACAAGAGGATGTTTTATAATTCAGAGTGAGACTTTACAACAAGAAGTGGACAATCTAAAGGAGAGAAATGAAGAGGTGACTCTGGATCTGGAGATACTGAGAGGTGAGATCAGTGAGAAAGGCACTGACGGACTAGCCTCCAGTTACCAGGTCAAACAGTTAGAGCAGCAGAACGAACGCCTGAAGGACGCACTGGTCAAGTGAGTTACATACAGGTTTTTATGTGAATGATTGTTGCTTATCATGTTTAAGTTACTTATAAGGGTCTGTTTGCAGATCAACCAGTTTGTCTATTTTCTAAATGTAATATTTCAGGGGCAAAACCTGACAGACCTGCAAATCACTAGGTCCCTATTTCATAAACAACTCTGGTCCAACCAGTCTGGAATGCAATTAATAAAATCATCCCATATTAGCAATTTTTGTATTCATGTTCATACATGTTTTTGAGAAACTGGTATTTGCTTGCAACCCCTTGATCGAACCCTTTGATCAAGATATAAATGGCAAATGATTTTTAGCTTGCCTATTTGAAGATTGTGGGATTATAATATATGCCAACTCAATAACAGCTTTGACATCAACAACTTTGATTAAAGTTAAACATCATTCATTTTACAACATTTATGAAATAAGTTTTATCAACAATCAACTTTATAACAATCTAGACATTCTTGTTGGCCTAGATGATAGCACACATGAGGTCTTCATGTGGGAAGCCACTGGAGTACACCAAAAACAACTGTGTGCAAAATTTGCTTTGAAAATGAGGGAGAGTTATAAGAATGCAGTTTCTGAATTGTACCGTTCAGCACTAAAACAGATTGGTCATAGTTATAATGTTAAGGTTAGGAAATCAAATAGGGGAATGTGTCATACTACCAATGAGACAGATTGTTAAATGTTAATTATGGTGTGTACAGGATGCGAGATCTGTCGACCAGTGATAAGCAGGACGCAGTAAAGAACCAGAAATTAAGTGAGAAGTTGACTAACGACATAGCTGTACTGAAGCGGGATAAGGAGAAACTTCAGAATGAGGTCACGGAGCAGCAAACCCAAGTCATAGAACTCAAGGAACAGGTAAATAGTCAGGTCATAGAACTCAAGGAACAGGTAAATAGTCAGGTCATAGAACTCAAGGAACAGGTAAATAGTCAGGTCATAGAACTCAAGGAACAGGTAAATAGTCAGGTCATAGAACTCAAGGAACAGGTAAATAGTCAGGTCATAGAACTCAAGGAACAGGTAAATAGTCAGGTCATAGAACTCAAGGAACAGGTAAATAGTCAGGTCATAGAACTCCGGGAACAGGTTAATAGTCAGGTGATAGAACTCAAAGAACAGGTAAATAGTCAGGTCACAGAACTCACAGAACAGGTAAATAGTCAGGTCATAGGATTCAAAGGACAGGTAAATAGTCAGGTCATAGAACTCAAGGAACAGATAAATAGTCAGGTTATAGAACTTAAGGAATGGGTAAATAGTCAGGTCATAGAACTCAACAAACAGGTATGGGATCAAAAGTCAGGTCATAGAACTCGAGGAACAGGTATGATATAAATAGTTAGGTCATAGAACTCAAAAAACAGGTATAATATAAATAGTTAGGTCATAGAACTCGAGGAACAGGTATGATATAACTAGTTAGGTCATAGAAATCAAGAAACAGGTATAATATAAATAGTCAGGTCATAGAACTCAAGGAACAGGTATAATATAAATAGTCAGGTCATAGAACTCGAGGAACAGGTATGATATCAATAGTCAGGTCATAGAACTCAAGAAACAGGTATGATATAAATAGTTAGGTCGTAGAACTCAAGGAACAGGCATAATATAAATAGTCAGGTCATAGAACTCAAGGAACAGGTATGATATAAATAGTCAGGTCATAGAACTCAAGGAACAGGTATGGGATAAATAGTCAGGGCATAGAACTCGAGGAACAGGTATAATATAAATAGTCAGGTCACAGAACTCAAGGAACAGGTATGGGATAATTAGTTAGGTCATAGAACTAAAGGAACAGGTATGAGATAAATAGTTAGGTCATAGAACTCACGGAACAGGTATGGGATAAATAGTGAGGTCATAGAACTCGAGGAACAGGGATGATATCAATAGTCAGGTCATAGAACTCAAGGAAAAGGTATGGGATGAATAGTCAGGTCATAGAAATCGAGGAACAGGTATGGGATAAATAGTCAGTTCATAGAACTCAAGGAACAGGTATGAGATAAATAGTTAGGTCATAGAACTTAAGGAACAGATATGGGATAAATAGTCAGTTCATAGAACTCAAGGAACAGGTATGAGATAAATAGTTAGGTCATAGAACTTAAGGAACAGGTATGGGATAAATAGTGAGGTCATAGAACTCAAGGAACAGGTTTGGGATAAATAGTTTGGTCATAGAACTCGAGGAACAGGTATAATATAAATAGACAGGTCATAGAACTCGAGGAACAGGGATGATATCAATAGTCAGGTCATAGAACTCAAGGAAAAGGTATGGGATGAATAGTCAGGTCATAGAAATCGAGGAACAGGTATGGGATAAATAGTCAGGTCATAGAACTCAAGGAAAAGGTATGGGATAAATAGTCAGGTCATAGAACTCAAGGAACAGGTATGGGATAAATAGTCAGGTCATAGAACTCAAGGAACAGGTATGGGATAAATAGTTAGGTCATAGAACTCAAGGAACAGGTATGGGATAAATAGTTAGGTCATAGAACTCAAGGAACAGGTATGGGATAAATAGTCAGGTCATAGAACTCAAGGAACAGGTATGAGATAAATAGTTAGGTCATAGAACTCGAGGAACAGGTATGGGATAAATAGTCAGGTCATAGAACTCAAAGAACAGGTATGATATAAATAGTCAGGTCATAGAACTCGAGGAACAGGTAAATAGTCATGTCATAGAACTCAAGGAACAGGTATGGGATAAATAGTCAGGTCATAGAACTTCAGGAACAGGTATGGGATAAATAGTCAGGTCAAAGAACTCAAAGAACAGGTATGGGATAAATAGTTAGGTAATTGAACTGAAGGAACAGGTATGAGATAAATAGTTAGGTCATAGAACTCAAGGAACAGGTATGAGATAAATAGTTAGGTCATAGAACTTAAGGAACAGGTATGGGATAAATAGTCAGGTCATAGAAGTCAAGGAACAGGTATGAGATAAATAGTTAGGTCATAGAACTCAAGGAACAGGTATGGGATAAATAGTCAGGTCATAGAACTCAAAGAACAGGGTATGATATAAATAGTTAGGTCATAGAACTCAAAAAACAGGTATAATATAAATAGTTAGGTCATAGAACTCAAGGAACAGGTATAATATAAATAGTCAGGTCATAGAACTCGAGGAACAGGTATGGGATAAATAGTCAGGTCAAAGAACTCAAAGAACAGGTATGGGATAAATAGTTAGGTCATAGAACTCAAGGAACAGGTATGAGATAAATAGTTAGGTCATAAAACTTCAGGAACAGGTATGATATAAATAGTTAGGTCATAGAACTGAAGGAACAGGTATAATATAAATAGTTAGGTCATAGAACTCAAGGAACAGGTATGGGATAAAAAGTCAGGTCATAGAACTCAAAGAGCAGGTATGAGATAAATAGTCAGGTCATAGAACTCAAGGAACGGGTAAATAGTCAGGTCATAGAACTCAAGGAACAGGTAAATAGTCAGGTCATAGAACTCAAGGATCAGGGAAATAGTCAGGTCATAGAACTCAAGGAACAGGTAAATAGTCAGGTCATAGAACTCAAGGATCAGGGAAATAGTCAGGTCATAGAACTCAAGGAACAGGTAAATAGTCAGGTCATAGAACTCAAGGAACAGGTAAATAGTCAGGTCATAGAACTCAAGGATCAGGGAAATAGTCAGGTCATAGAACTCAAGGAACAGGAATGGGATAAATAGTTAGGTCATAGAACTTCAGGAACAGGTATGGGATAAAAAGTCAGGTCATAGAACTCAAGGAACAGGTATGGGAAAAATAGTTAGGTCATAGAACTCAAGGAACAGATATGGGATAAATAGTTAGGTCATAGAACTCAAGGAACAGATATGGGATAAATAGTCAGGTCATAGAACTCAGGAACAGATATTATATAAATAGTTAGGTCATAGAACTTCAGGAACAGGTATGGGATAAAAAGTCAGGTCATAGAACTCAAAGAGCGGGTATGAGATAAATAGTCAGGTCATAGAACTCAAGGAAAAGGAATGGGATAAATAGTCAGGTCATAGAACTCGAGGAGCAGGTATGATATAAATAGTTAGGTCATAGAACTCCAGGAACAGGTATGATATAAATAGTCAGGTCATAGAACTCAAGGAACAGGTATGAGATAAATAGTCAGGTCATAGAACTCGAGGAACAGGAATGGGATAAATAGTCAGGTCATAGAACTCAAGGAAAAGGAATGGGATAAATAGTCAGGTCATAGAACTCGAGGAGCAGGTATGATATAAATAGTTAGGTCATAGAACTGAAGGTACAGGTATAATATAAATAGTTAGGTCATAGAACTCAAGGAACAGGTATGGGATAAAAAGTCAGGTCATAGAACTCAACGAACAGGTATGAGATAAATAGTTAGGTCATAGTACTTCAGGAACAGGTATGGGATAAATAGTTAGGTCATAGAACTTCAGGAACAGGTATGGGATAAAAAGTCAGGTCATAGAACTCAAGGAACAGGTATGGGATAAATAGTCAGGTCACAGAACTCAAGGAACCGGTATGGGATAAATAGTCAGGTCATAGAACTCGTGGAACATGTATGATATAAATAGTTAGGTCATAGAACTCAAAGAACAGGTATGATATAAATAGTTAGGTCATAGAAGTCCCGGAACAGGTATGATATAAATAGTCAGGTCATAGAACTCAAGGAACAGGTAAATAGTCAGGTCATAGAACTCAAGGATCAGGGAAATAGTCAGGTCATAGAACTCAAGGAACAGGTAAATAGTCAGGTCATAGAACTCAAGGATCAGGGAAATAGTCAGGTCATAGAACTCAAGGAACAGGTAAATAGTCAGGTCATAGAACTCAAGGATCAGGGAAATAGTCAGGTCATAGAACTCAAGGAACAGGTAAATAGTCAGGTCATAGAACTCAAGGATCAGGGAAATAGTCAGGTCATAGAACTCAAGGAACAGGTAAATAGTCAGGTCATAGAACTCAAGGATCAGGGAAATAGTCAGGTCATAGAACTCAAGGAACAGGGATGGGATAAATAGTCAGGTCATAGAACTCGAGGAGCAGGTATGATATAAATAGTTAGGTCATAGAACTCCAGGAACAGGTATTGGATAAATAGTCAGGTCATAGAACTCAAGGAACAGGTATGATATAAATAGTTAGGTCATAGAACTCCAGGAACAGGTATGAGATAAATAGTCAGGTCATAGAACTCAAGGAACAGGTATGGGATAAATAGTCAGGTCATAGAACTCGAGGAACAGGAATGGGATAAATAGTCAGGTCATAGAACTCAAAGAACAGGTATGAGATAAATAGTCAGGTCATAGAACTCGAGGAACAGGGATGGGATAAATAGTCAGGTCACAGAACTCAAGGAACAGGTATGGGATAAATAGTAAGGTCATAGAACTCAAGGAACAGGTATGGGATACATAGTCAGGTCATAGAACTCGAGGAACAGGTATGATATAAATAGTTAGGTCATAGAACTCCCGGAACAGGTATGATATAAAGAGTCAGGTCATAGAACTCAAGGAACAGGTATGGGGTAAATAGTTAGGTCATAGAACTTCAGGAACAGGTATGGGATAAAAAGTCAGGTCATAGAACTCAAGGAACAGGTATGATATAAATAGTTAGGTCATAGAACTCAAGGAACAGGTATAATATAAATAGTAAGGTCATAGAACTCAAGGAACAGGCATAATATAAATAGTTAGGTCATAGAACTCAAGGAACAGGTATAATATAAATAGTCAGGTCATAGAACTCGAGGAACAGGTATGATATAAATAGTTAGGTCATAGAACTCCCGGAACAGGTATGATATAAATAGTCAGGTCATAGAACTCAAGGATCAGGTATGGGATAAATAGTCAGGTCACAGAACTCAAGGAACAGGGATGGGATAAATAGTCAGGTCACAGAACTCAAGGAACAGGTATGGGATAAATAGTAAGGTCATAGAACTCAAGGAACAGGCATAATATAAATAGTTAGGTCATAGAACTCAAGGAACAGGTATAATATAAATAGTAAGGTCATAGAACTCAAGGAACAGGTATGGGATAAATAGTAAGGTCATAGAACTCAAGGAACAGGCATAATATAAATAGTTAGGTCATAGAACTCAAGGAACAGGTATAATATAAATAGTAAGGTCATAGAACTCAAGGAACAGGCATAATATAAATAGTTAGGTCATAGAACTCAAGGAACAGGTATTGGATAAATAGGCAGGTCATAGAACTCGAGGAACAGGGATGGGATAAATAGTCAGGTCACAGAACTCAAGGAACAGGTATGGGATAAATAGTTAGGTCATAGAACTCAAGGAACAGGTTTGGGATAAATAGTTAGGTCATAGAACTCGAGGAACAGGTATGGGATAAATAGTCAGGGCATAGAACTCGAGGAACAGGGATGGGATAAATAGTCAGGTCACAGAACTCAAGGAACAGGTATGGGATAAATAGTCAGGCCATAGAACTCAACAAACAGGTATGGGATAAATAGTCAGGTCATTGAACTCGAGGAACAGGTATGGGATAAATAGTCAGGTCATAGAACTCAACAAACAGGTATGGGATAAATAGTCAGGTCATAGAACTCGAGGAACAGGTATGGGATAAATAGTAGGTCATAGAACTCGAGGAACAGGTATGATATAAATAGTTAGGTCATCTATAACAACTAAATGAAAATGTAAGTGATCAATATATAGCTCTGTTATTTCTAATATTTTGTTTAGTTTTCAAGTTTACCCTTAAATTTTGAATTTCAAAGCTTTCATTTTTTTACTGTAAAACTAAATCTATTACATTCAAATTGGATTTTTATTATAAATGCAATGCACCATGGTTTTGTGTCTAAACTAGACACCCATGGATAACCTAGTTTGGCCAGTTTTCATTGTTGGAGCCGAATTCTTTGGCTGGTTTGAAAAATATCGGGATCAGACATATTTTGGTTCATATGTGTGTAGTACATCAAACAGTTAAAAAACATATATTTCAAATTACAATGTATATTATATGAGGGTTCATACTTAATACAAAGAAAAATTTGTATTAAGTATATTCAACATAAAATGAACAAAAAAGAGTAGAATCTATCAGACTTTACTGCAGTAAGTGTACATGTGCTTCGTGTAGGTGGATGCTGCTCTGGGTGCAGAGGAGATGGTGGAATCTTTGGCAGAGAAAAACCTTCAGCTGGAGGGGTTGATAAATGAACTGGAGGAAGAGAAAGCAGACCTGGTAGGTAGAACAACATACATTCCTTAAATGGTTCATACTTTCTGGTAACCAAGAAAGAATTTTCAAGGCAATTTTCATATTTTTCTCATGATTTTTTTTGTCTTGACTAGGTAATGAGCAAAACTGATAGATTATCAGACCTTCTACCTGTTTGTCTGGATTTGTTGAGATTGATCACCTGCAGCCATTATAATTTTGTTGATATCATTTGCAGAATTTGTTATGCAGTATTCAAATGTGAACATTTCAGGAAGCTCTCCATGAGATGAATGAGGAGCTACAGGAGAACACGAGGGAGTCTGAGTTGGAATTACGTGAGGAGCTAGACCTGGCCAATGGAAGAGCTACTGAGGTAAATACAACACACTCTCGTCTAACTGGATCAGATCATTTATCACTGGTTTAGAAACGGCTTTCACACAATTCTTTTGTTGGGTCTTCATCATTTACAAGTTCTCATAATTTTTAGTTTTACTTAACAGGTTAGGTCCTTTACATTTATGTCACCAAGTTATTATTTATGGCTGGTTTTCATTTATGTCAGGTTGACATAGTTAATGTCAAGTTCTCAGAATTGATTTTTTGTGTTCAGCATTTTTTCCAGATCCTCTATATTTATGTCAAGTCCTTAGCATTTACAAGTCTGTGTTATGGCCTCAGCATCTATTTTAGGTCTCAGGTAATAATGTGATTTACTGAGTTTTTATGTGGCCCCTAGACAGTAGTTCTAATCAGTGATTCCTCTTTAACTGATGTCGCTTATAAAATACTCATAAAATAATAACTTATAACATATACGTGAATAATAATATAGAGTAACAGGACTTATTGATGATGTGTTGAGTATAATGTGTCACTTACTTTTACAGATGCAGAGAAAGCTTGATGCAACACAGGAGACTATTGCTGATTATGATGCCACCATTTCAAAGTTCCGGGAACTTGTGTCAAGTCTACAGGTATGTCAGGAGTCTGTGAGCTTGTATCAAGTCTACAGGTATGTCAGGAGTCTGTGAGCTTGTATCAGATCTACAGTTATGTACGGAGTCTGTGAGCTTGTATCAAGTCTACAGGTATGTCAGGAGTCTGTGAGCTTGTATCAGGTCTACAGGTATGTCAGGAGTCTGTGAGCTTGTGTCAAGTCTACAGGTAGGTCAGGAGTCTGTGAGCTTGTATCAAGTCTTGAGGTATGTCAGGAGTCTGGGAGCTTGTATCAAGTCTACAGGTATGTCATGAGTCTGTGAGCTTGTATCAAGTCTACAGGCATGTCAGGAGTCTGTGAGCTTGTATCAGATCTACAGGTATGTACGGAGTCTGTAAGCTTGTATCAAGTCTACAGGTGTGTCATGAGTCTGTGAGCTTGTAACAAGTCTTCAGGTATGTCAGGAGTCTGTGAGCTTGTGTCAAGTCTACAGGTAGGTCAGGAGTCTGTGAGCTTGTATCAAGTCTACAGGTATGTCAGGAGTCTGTGAGCTTGTATCAGGTCTACAGGTATGTCAGGAGTCTGTGAGCTTGTATCAGATCTACAGGTATGTACGGAGTCTGTGAGCTTGTATCAAGTCTACAGGTATGTCATGAGTCTGTGAGCTTGTATCAAGTCTTGAGGTATGTCAGGAGTCTGTGAGCTTGTATCAAGTCTACAGGTATGTCAGAAGTTTTGTCATTTTGTTATCAAATGCAGTGTGCTATAGATGTAGCATGGCCTATGTCTACACCACTTTTGGCAGAATATACTAGGAATGTCGCCCAGTATCATTAACAGATTTACCTTGTTTAACAACAGGATACCATCAGAGACATGAGGAGCCGTCAAGTTGAATCGGAACAGAAGACAGAGACACCGACTATGGAAGCATTTGATTTTAAAACAAAGTTTGCTGAGTCAAAGGCTTATGCTAAGGTAACTTTATCAGGTTTTCCTTGATGTACTTGATATTAAAAAAACACCATTTTGTATGAAGATTTACAGATTGTTTTAATCAAGATTTTCATGTTAAACACTGGCTGCTTTTGTTTATCGTATTCTGGACAGCTGGACCAGAGTATTTAGTTTATGAAATAGGGACAGACCTTTTGATTTGACATTACTTTCAGGCGAGCCTTGGTGGAGACTTTCAAAGCATGCATTAACATTTGCTTGTCCGTCAGGTTTGTCTCTGAAATGATCATGTTCAAAATTAGACAAACCAGTATGTCCATGTACGCGAATAGACCCAATGTCTAATTAGTTTTGGCATCCATTTGGTAGTTACATGCTAAACATATTAAATTGATAATACCATAGCTAGTTACAAGTTAAATATTGTGAAATTGGTAATGACATGTGTTTCTCTCCTTATATTTATGACCAAAGGAAGTAGGAAGTGTGGTATGTCTTCTTAACATTGATTTGACTGAATTTCATTCCAAAATAAAATCCCTGAAACCTGACCTCATGCTGGTACACTGTTTATTGTGGCTTCCTATGGGGGTGGCATGGCACTGTGGAACTGTAGTGGTGTTTACAATGCCTACTGGGGATTCTGTTTTATAAATTCCCGGTATAACTATCATTCTTATCACTTTACCAACCTAGCTGTTTTCCACACCAGGAGAAGGAATTTACTGATGCAATATTTATATGGAATTCACTAAGTTCAGTGTTTAGCCTAAATCTTTGTTGACTTGGTATAAAACTTTTCTTGTAACAATACCTTGGTGAATAGTATTCGGAATAACAGATTTTTTTTTCGAAATTCCTTCTCTCTTTCTGCCTATTCTGAAATATAATTTCAGTATGTTTTGTGTGTGTTTTTTTTTTCTTTCCACATCTATTAAACCTATTGGCAGAAGGTCAATTTCCTTTGATTCTTAGTTTTTTTTCTAATATTCATTTACCCAGAAAACCATCCCTAGACCCCAGTAAGTTACATGCCTTTGGTGGTAGCCTTTCAAATAAATAAATAAAAATCCATTGGAAAGGATATGGAAAGTTAAGACAAAAATAAATTGGAGCAGAAGATGTCAATGGAAAAATAAGTGTTGTTTTTTAAAAGATTACAGACTGTGTCAGTTTCTAATTGAAAGCATGAAGAAATGACAGACTGTTTCATTTGAACATATTGGTGTTTCCTGCATATGTTGGAGTAAATATCTTGTGTTGTTTCACTTATAATACAATTGCATCTTACAGACAATTGACATGGAGCTACGAAAATTGGAAGTACAACAGGCATCATACCAGGTGACACTCCTGAAGTCTTTTATGCCGAACTCCTTCAGCAACAGGGGAGGTAATTTGTGAGGGTGTCACTCGCGCCAGACTACATTATATTATTCAAAATAAGAAAAATATTCATGGACATTGTAGTCTGATTAACCTTTTCTTGAAGTATTTGTAAAGTAAGAAACCTTTTTCTACCATTAGATTGGTTTTTGCCCTTAAAATGTGGTGTTTGACTTGATCAGTTTAATTATATTTAAAATATTAAAGGCTATATATGGTCAATGCTAATGTTAACTCTCCCATTGTTCAATCTGTTGATGTTCTTGTTGTCAGTAAAGTCCTTGGTTGTTGTACAGGTGACCAAGATGCTGTTGGTGTGCTGCTCATGATTCCTAGGGTCATCAGTAAATGTGAGCTATTGGCCTCCCAGGTCAAAGATAAGGTAAATTATTGGGAATATTCTGGTTTTCTCTTTTCTGTTAATGGTAAATGTAAGGGTCTTTTACACAGTTGTACATTTAAATTGATAGATAGAAGGATATTGTTACTGTTTATGAATAAATAACAACATATGCAGATGTAAAATGAAAAAGGGTACTGTGCTTCCACTGGGGATCGAACCCACAACCCCTGACTTCCTAGTCAGATGCTCTACCACTGAGCTAATGGGAAATTCCCACTAGCTCAAAGCTAGGAGGCGACCTTATCCTATGTACACTTAAAATCTGCCACACAGATATATGGAACTTTTAGCTGAAATCCAGTGATAACTGGACTGATTGATAATTGTGCATCATAAGCTTTCCTGCAGGTCTTTGTTTAAATTACACACTGTAAACGATATTCACTATGACTGATACATTCCACAATGCATGTTTATTGGCAATCTACTTATAAAATTAAGGTTGACATGATTTTCAAATGGACAATGTTGCGAGTGTAATATATGAACTTACACTTAATGCTTATAATTTATGATTTAGTCTTATATGTTAAAAGGAAAATCATCTTTGTGTAACACCTATCATTAGATAAAAAAAATATCAGTTTTTAACTTTAACTTGAAGTAAACAAAAGATTGATTTCGACATGATGTACATGAAGTGTATAGTTTGTACTTGTCTTTACAGTTTGAGATGGTGTGTGTTGCTTGTACTTGTGCATAATTTTTTAAATAGTTTGTTCATTTGTACTCGTGTATAATGCTTGAACCTGTGTTTACAGTTTGAGATGGTGGAGAACATTAACCGGGAGACAGTACTGAAGAGCCACATGGCCCAGCAATGTAGCTACGCCCTACAGATGGTTCTCATGCTGAACACCCTCACCACCATCATGAAGCAGTATGAATAGTAAGTGTCCGTCATTCTCTGGTCAGTAAGAATAGTGTCGGTCAAACTCTGGTCAGTATGAATAGTAAATGTCAGTCATTCTCTTGCCATTAGGAATAGTGTCGGTCAAAGTCTGGTCAGCAGGAATAGTGTCATACTTTGGTCAGTAGGAAGTGTTGGTCATACTCAGACCAGAAGAAATAATAATTGTTGGTCATTCTCTGGCCGTTTAGGTCAATTAACAAGTCTTCGTTCACATGTCTAGGCATACAATTTTAACCAAGCCATTGTCATATTTCCAGGTCAAAGTCAAAAAAGTATTATTGCGGTCCATTCCTGACAACTACAGGCAGAAGTTAGAATTATATATTTTAGGTATATGTTCTTCTTTTGATATTGAAGTACAAGTATGTTTCAGTGCTATGAGGACGTGTAAGGTGGAGCTCTTTTGATATTGAAGTACATGTATGTTTCAGTGCTATGAGGACGTGTAGTGTGGAGCTCTTCCTTAAGATTGGGACGTTGCTACCAGAGATGAATGCCCATGAGAAGTCGGTCGACTACTTCATAGAGCTGCTGAGGAAAGACCAGGTAATACAAAGATTTTGGCCTTCTGAGTGGGACTAATATAGAATAAATACCAAGTTATCACACTTTTTTATCCTAGACTATGTTAAGAAACATTGAAATGTTTAATTATTGCAGAATACATTGTTGTGTATTGCTGAAGAATACAACGTAAAAATACTTAATCTTCAGCATTTTAGATTAAAAATGAAAGTGATATGACTATTTAATTAAAAAAAGGGCAAAATATTATGTGTATGACTTAAAACATGGGTCCACTGAGGTTAATTATGTAGACAAATAACTGAAAAGTACCTGTACAAATATATTTTGTCTGCTCCATAATATACCTGATACAGTGTATGTTGATATAAGTCAATTTTGATTTATACATTTTAAGCTTAAAACTTAAAATAAGGACTTGTAGATTGGAAATTTTAACCATGAGATTGCAGTGTATAAAGAATAAATATTTTCACAAATGATTGATGGTGTATATTTCAGCTGGATGAGAATATTTCTCTAGATCTTCTGGAGAAATCCATTAACTACTTCCAGGTAAGTCAAATTGTAATTTGTAACCCACTCTTCTGAAATAATCCTTATTATGAATAAATTAAATGAAACTAAAGAATTGAAAAGTGCAAAATTTTACCATTATTATAAGACATTAATGTTATTAAATCGCCAACAATTAAGGACTTTGAAATTAATCTTGATACTCATTGAAAAAATCTTGAACTGGAATACAATCACTTGGCCAGCCATAAAGAAATATCAGGAAATGACAATTAATGAATATTTTTTTCTTAATACGTTAAAAATATATTAAGATATGGATAAAGAGGCAGAGTGTCTGCCTGCATCCATTATTTATCCTATTATATTACATTTTTGAGAATAATTAGTTTTGCATTGACTTTTGAAGATTTTTTCAATTTACAGAAGGAAATATATAATGATCACTTCTTTGAATGTTCTTAGTAAATAATCCCAATTTCAGTTAATGCAACACTTTCACATATTTTGAGATGACATTTAATATGAAGACATAATCTGTATTGAGTAAACCTGCTGCTAAATTTACCTTTGTAGCCTTACTTACCTGATCTTGATTTACAGCAACTGCATGCCGTACACCTGGTAGCAGAGAAGGTCGACTGTACATCTCTAATGGCTAACAAGACCAAACTTGTCCTCAGTGCTTGTGACTGTGTCAGTACCGACATAGCTCGCCTCAAAGTACTGCTACAGGTAATATACCATACAGTTACAATGAGCGTGTCCTCAGTGCTTGTGACTGTGTCAGTACCGACATAGCTCGCCTCAAAGTACTGCTACAGGTAATATACCATACAGTTACAATGAGGGTGTCCTCAGTGCTTGTGACTGTGTCAGTACCGACATAGCTCGCCTCAAAGTACTGCTACAGGTAATATACCATACAGTTACAATGAGGGTGTCCTCAGTATCGGTGTCTATCTCCAGGTACTGCTATAGGTAATATACCTTACTGTTAGACCTGGCTTGTTCTCAGTACTTGTGACTAAAGGTCCATGGCTAGTACTGGTACTGTTATTACTGAAATACATGTACACTGCAGGCCTATTTATCTGAAATGTTGTTTTGAATTTTTCAGTTTGAATGTGTTAGCTAGTTTGGGAAGAACAGCATTCAGAAAGAAAAGAAGGAAAATATTATTAAACAGCGAAATTTAAAATCATAATTTATTTCCCAATACATGGCTGTAAAAAACATATTTTTTCTTCACTGCAGCCTGGACAGGAACAGACCCAGATCTCTATACTGCTGAAAGATCTGGAGAATTGTAACAGCGACACCCGTATGTGTGCCAGAAAGGTAAATACAGGCTGACATTGTACCCAGGTAGAAACACATAGGAATGCATGTGTTAAGCTTTTATCAGTTTCTGCTAAAAAACATCTTCATGTTCCTATATTATCTGTGAAGTATATATATAGTGATGGTAATTTACTGTTACCGATAGTAACCACTCGTCCCCGGTATAATAGCCGTCCCTGTAATGTCTGTACTGTATAACTATTACACTGAGTTTGAATTGTCCAGGTGAAGCGGAGACTACCACAGGGAGACGGAGCTGCTATGCCTCTATCATTTGGAAAAGAGGTAAATATTGACAATGATGTTTATGGTACATGTAAATGATTAAACACAGATGATATAGTAATAATTGAGTGCTATACTGAAATGTTTAGCTAATCCTGATAAAGGCAAATTTTAAAAACAAAAAATTTGAAACAAAAATAAAGGAGAGATCTTCCCATTAAATAATTCCTCCCACCACCACCACAACCACCACTCCACTGCCACTACCACCACCACCACTACTACCACCACCACCACCACCACCACCACTACTACTACTACTACTACTACTACTACTACTACTACTACTACTACTACTACTACTACTACACTAC